ACCACTCGTTTCATACTAGGGAGTTCATTTAGTTTGACCTTTTTCTTACTAATCCAATAAATGACTACCTCCACAAGAACACAAAATTAATTGGAGCGAGAAGAAGCGGCCAGACGCAACAAAGGCAGTTAAATGTGGATTTTCCTTGTGGGATACTAAATGCATTAATTGTTAGGAGGCTGATCCCTAAGATGAGTTCATCCGTCTGGGGAAATCATCATATTCATCGCTGTACATGAGTACATTATTGCATTATCAAGACATCTATACATATGAGCTAAAAAGTTGTGCATAATTGATCCTGCAGGGAGTCCTTCCCTCCTTCCCGGGCCCCTCTCCTAATTATGATCATTCTAAAAAGTTTGCATCTTTTTTAATTTTTTTTATTTGATTCGTTTATTGGATGAAAATATATTGCTAGACTTGAGTGACTTATCCTGTATGCAGCTTGCTAGACAAACTAATTACGGTACAGTTTTTTAAAAAAATTCAAAATAACTCGATTTTTATATTTTTTTCAGAGTTAAGATCTATTAAATATCTTAAAATATCATTTAGGCATATATAATATCTTAAAGTATTTTACGGTGTAATTTTATGTTTAAAATATTTGTTAGAAGTAATTTCTTCCTTAGAGTATTTATTTAGGAGCATTTTTAACCTTAACTCTCTAATAAGTCCAACTAGTGAAGGTACATCAAGCACTTTAATGTAATTTTTTTAACAGTACTTAACATGCTAAAATAATTTTTTTTAGTGTATTTTTACCTTTAAAATATTTTTTGAGTTAACTCTTTATCATTTCCCCCCATATTTTTAACTCTCATCTTTTAGTATTTTCAACAATCAGATTTTCAATTTTTAGGTAATCATCTTAAATGTTTTATATACTTATCTTTCAAAATTTCAACCCGAATTTTCAATTATTTTCAGTAATAAAAATATAGAACACAAATATTAAAAACATTTAAAATCACCGCTGAAAAATTGGAAAATTATTACCAAGCTTTTACTCTTTTTTTTTTTTGCCAAAAATTACCAAGCTTTTACTTGAATCCATGGAAAGGTCAGCAACTAAAACTTTCATGTCCTTGAGGGGAATTTATTCACCTAATCTCTCTGTGTTGATCCTTTGCAATAAGAGGGCAGTTAGGTGGGCAGACACATCTGTATAGAAGGAAACAGGAAAAAAGGCGTCATCACATTGAGATTGAGGTACCTTGAGGACTCAGCCATGGATGGAACCCATAGTTTCAGACTCAAAACCAGGAAGGTGATGATATGAATGAAATGAAAGTAGTAAATGACCAATTTCATAAAGTCAGATCCAAGTGTGATGTGGCAACGCATTAATGGCAAAGGAAGCATTCAGTTCATCTTTCTTTTCCCGAATGCTTATAGTTTCCAGTACCTTGCTTAACGGCAGATCCACCTACCTTAACCTTAGTCTCCGGATTGGCCCAACCTAGCCATGACTTTAATTAGCCTACTTGAACCGTTTATGTATCTCAACGTGTCTTATCACAAACAAGAGCAGGGCTATATTGTCTGTATTTTCCATCCACAGAAAAACCAGAAGCGTTAACTTTCTGGATTTAAATCCCTCACTTGCTCGCCCACAGTTTCTAATCATACATAAAAACAAACAGCTTATCTTTCCCCTCTTTTTCTTCCCAATTTCAAATCTTTGAGGTAGTGGAAGTCCCACAGGATCATCTCACAGATCTTTGTCCCCTCCGTCGAGCCAGGTTTTCAAAGGGCTCAATCATTTTCACTGTGGTGTGAGCTTTGAGAGAGAGAGAATTCTGGTAAAGACATGGAAATTAGATCAGAATACCACGTTGTGTCATCATCCTACTGTTCAAATTAACTCTGGTTGAGTAATGGAGTCTATTTGCAATAATAATCCTTAGTGTGATGCTGTTTATTTCTAATTGCCTTTTTCTAACTTTGCTTCAGAGCCACATTTGCTAACTGAGGAAGCAGCACCACAAGTTTGGTTTGCCTTTTGTATTGTTCCTTCTAGAAATATTATTATGGATAAAACCATGCAATAATTGGCATATTCCGTTCGTAATAATATCTTCTTGCATAGAGATAATTATTGCTCTTTCCCCCTTTTATGTCTTTTAGCATAACATAGAACATTTTGCCCGTCTCTTGCGGGCAACAAAAAAAATGAAGAAGGAAAGTTGAAGTTAAACACGAACTAGTGTTGTGGATTAATTACTAGTACCTGCAAACGCATGCCTTATTTGAACCAAATGACAAATAGTAAATAATTAACAAAAGGGTGACTGGTTTAGCTGCCTTTCAAAAAACGATGAAGAAGATAATTAATTCTGATATTGTTAATGAGGACTTAACTGATCCAGTTTGAAATACTTCTTTGATATTCCTAAATTAGTATGCTTTTATGTAGTCAGCTCCACCTGTTTCTGGGATTCACTGATTAGTTAACTGTCACTAATCATGTACGCACAGATTTAGTTTCTAAAGCATATACATATAAACCTCAATATATTGGTGTGTCTGATAAATTTGAATTTTACATGCGTATGTCTTGCAAATTAAATGTCATGAACCTTCTGATTGCTTATCGGATATGCAATATATATTGCAAGCAGGATGTGGCAGTGATGTGACTGAACAGCATAGTTTGTTGAAATATATATTTCTTTTTTCCCTCTATCTGATTTTGGAAGAGATGGGAAACTGGGTCATAATACAACTATATAAAACCTGGGGCATCTGAATGACACAAATCAAATAAAAATCAGAAATAGTCAAATAGATAAAGGATCTTTTCATGATCTTCTTGAAACAATATTAATTGATCTTAGACTTTAATTAGAAGTAGTGCAGAGAGTCACGGAACTTGGTGTGAATCGTGGATTATTGCAGAAAATTATTCTGCTGTACCGGGCAGTACCTCAGCTATTCACATATAAATGTACCAAAGTGATGAATACTTACGTAGTCAGTTTGCTCAACATTTCATGATAAGCTTCAAATCTGAGTCATGATGATAAGGTTCAAAACTTCAAATTTGAAAATATCAAACCACGCGCTGACATCTGTGTCAATTGATTTAGTCACGAGCAAAGGAGAAACTGCAATGTCAAACTGATTAGTATGACCACACATTAGCCACATTGACTGTACTTTTAAAACGAAGTACTTGATAAAACATCTTCCAAAGTAATCTCCTGTAACCTTAAAAATTTACAGAAACTGTCTTGAAAAATGGTTATATCAGATGAATAACTGCTGTCGAAATAACTTGGTGCTTGAAGTTTTGAATTACTCGACAGAACAAGGCGTGGTTGGCCAGCCTGTGGTAATATAGTTCCCTAGCTTGGGGGCGTTGGTGGCTGAGATTGAATACTGCAGCACTTTATTTGAGGAGTCACATGTGGGATTAATAGGTGGGGTGTGGAGGAATGGAATAAGGCATGATTGGGCATCTGGGCTGCACCCTTTATCAAAAAATGGGTTGCAGTACTGTTGCATGTGGTTGGTGAGTTATTGGTGGTTTTGTCTGGTTCAAGCAAGTTAAAGCGACAATAATGGGGTTTGATGCTTTACAATACAGATAAAGGGAAGCAAACATTGGCCATCTTAGCATTGGGTTGGTCAACTTCTCAGGGCTAGTTTGTCATTTTTACCATTTGGCCAACATGCAAGGGATACGGATGCTCTTGCAGTGGCTGTGGCCCAGGCCCCCTCCACTCAATGTCTCTTGGCTTTCGAAATGAAGGACTTCTCTGGCTTGTAGTTCGGTACTACTGCACCCTTACTGTATGCACAGTCACTTCACAGCCACATATTTAGGACCCCGTTGTCGTAGTTGAATCTCAGCCACAAGCTAATGGGTTAAGGAAAATGTTCAAAAGCAAAAATGTCACCCTTTTCGCCCACCGTGGGGCTCGAACCCACGACCACAAGGTTAAGAGCCTTGCGCTCTACCGACTGAGCTAGACGGGCAGTTCGGTGGGCGGAGCCAAAATAAAATACTAACCCTATTTTTGTCGTTATTATAAATTCCTAAAACAAATAATGGATATATATATTTGATTCAACTCCTATTGTCCGTTAGTAACTGCTGAATTTTTATTATATTGTATCCAATAATATAAATATGTCTGTATTACGCTTTATCATTACTTCTCAGCGATTGTTTAATCATGTTTATTGTTGTTTTTATCTTTCTTCTTTCGGGGATATTTGAATCTCTTTTTTGTCACTGGTCCAAGAGGGGGGGTATCTCGGGTCATCATCTTTCGCCTTGTTTTCTTCGATACAAGATATTTTATTAGATTGCTCAAATTATCAGAAAAAATATAATCACGAAACATTGCATTCTGAAATAAAACTTGGAAACTTTCATTATATTGAATTATTGTCTGGTGAATAAAGTTATAATGAGGATACGATAAAGATTCTGCAATAAAGATGTGTATAATAGCGTTATAAAATCAATTCTCAGATTTGTATAATTTATTTTTTAAAAATAATGGGAGCCCACTATGGGGATTGATAAATGTTTTTTTTTTGTTGATAAAAGTAGATTGACAATTAAGACTGGGCTCACTTTTTAAACACTTTTGTTTTTGTTATGCATATATATCTTCTTCTTTTTAAGCAATCTTGTTTAAAGTATTATTGGATATGAAATATGAATGTTTCTTCTAACAGAGATTTAAACACTGGATGGCATATTATGAGAGATTAATCTTTTTGGTTAGATCTGACCCCAGATTTTTAAACAACTTTTATTTCGGTTGGTTCACATTATGATCTTTCAATGTGATAATTGATAGGGAGTGAAGGCGCCTATTATACTTCATTTTTTTCTCCCATTATTTTTTTATCCGCCTTGTGATGATAATTAAGTCTATCTCTTGTCATCATTTTTTTGCCTAGTTTTATTGGACACAAGATATAAATAATCATCACCCAAATCACTGGGAAAATATAAAATCATCTTCCAAACATTCTGAAATAAATTAGAAAGCTTTCATAATATTGAATTACCATTTAGTGAGTAGAGTTACTACAAATGCTAGTCTACACTAAATCCTCTAGAGTCAGCTTAAGAATTCAAGGTAGAGAAAACTTTCTTCCCTGCGAAACAACATTCTCGATAGTTTTCACACACCCAGCCTCAACTTTTGCTGTGATAATAATGTCTTTCCTTCCTTCTTTTTTCTTCTTTATTTTCCTTTGGTCTCAGGAACTTTGCTTACTATCGTAGAAGCCGAGCCCAAACAATTTCAGTGTCATTCCCTACTGGTAGTGAAGTTCCCGTTGTTGCCAACCCAGTACTGTTTGACAGCAATCAAAATCTTGTGGGGCACAATTGGGCCATCCTCATGATCCACCATTTTGGCCTCCCATCTCATTCCTCTCACATTTTTTCTAACCTTGTTCACCACATCAGCCTGGTCCCTGACTATAACCGCCCCTTCGGGTCGAAGGATCCGATCCATCTCCAGAAGGATGTCTTCCATACTGCACTTGTCATGGTACAAGCTAAACAAACCGTGTGCATGAATGAGATCATATGTCCTCGGGTATGTAGAAAATCCTTCACACCTGAACAAATAAAAGTAATGTCACCGCAAGATTAATGGAAAATCTGTGTAAGTGTAAAAAGCCGACTTGTGACATACCAGTCGTGATAAATTCCAATTAGACCTCTCTCATAGATAGCACCTAATGTGTTCTTAGCAATAGTGGGAACAACATTCATCACCCAGGAGTTTGGTGATTCAAGTGCCGCTGCAAATCCTCCAAGGCCAGCATTCATGTCCATCACATTACGGTATCTGTTAGTGCCAATCAATTTGTTGATTCTTTTGTAAGTATTGACATGCTTTCTCCATAGTTTGTTGTCCTTTTGGTAAGATTCAGCTGTCACCCCTTGAACTGAGCCCCTTGATATTCTAGGAGGGGCCGCAAAAAGCCTAGCAGGAAACTCCTTCAACTTCTCTCCATCAGCTTCACCTTCTCTGTTTGCCTCAGAAAAAGGGGTTTTACATGCCTCCATTTTCTTATACCTATTATGCAGATCCAGTGGTAATAATAATAAGAACGAGATTATCTATTATAGGACCTGTTATACAAAAATGTGCAGTCTAAATGACTTGAAGCATGAAACAGTATGATGAGGACTAACCACACATCATCTGCATTATCTGAATTAATACATAAATTAGCAGAATGACTTCGGCAGGGTTCTGGATTTAGTCTCTTTCTCCAGATAGCGATATCTCCCTTTTCATACTTCTTTTCCCAACAAAGACTCTCAGTTAACTCCTCGATCTTTTTCTGCTCTGCTTCCAGTTCTTCCGCAGATTGCTTCCACGAGGAGTGGTGCGTTTTCCAGTTGATAGGAGGACCAGAGAGAATCCAGTATCCACCAGGTCTGAGAACTCTATCCACTTCCATTAGATACATACCACCTGGAATCAAAGACATCACCATATTAGTTCCTCTAGAAAAATCCTCTCCATGTTGATAAAAGTACATCTGGCTTGAAATCAAATGCAGAACTGACTATTTGAAGTCCATGGTATTAGGCATCTTAAACAGTGAGCCATGTCGAAGGCTACTGAAGGGTAGGGGAGGTGGATGGTGCCAAGAACACCAATAACAGCAGGGACACCTCGTTCCAGTGCAAGCTGAACTTGTGCTTCTTGATTGTCCTTTCGTCCAAAAGACATAGTTATGACATATCTCTTCAGCATGTACGCTCCCCAGCTTGCTACCTGCATTATCGTTCATGCACATACTCTTCAATTTACAATGTGACAACCGCATGGTGAAGTCAGAAGATCGATTATTGAGCAGAGTTTAAATTTTATACATAAACATAGATATGTTTGAGGAATCCACATACCCCACAACCAATGTCAAGTGCTGTTCGGATAGATCCATTAGCAATTGGGATGACTGATGCAAGTTCATCAATATATGCATCTACTCCTTGAGGAAACATGGCTCCTCGACTTGGGAATCTCAGCACATTCCCTTGGAGTAGTACCCGGTTTTGATTGGCCTTTTCTTCTGTGAGACTCTTGGAATGAACATTGGCATGGTACACTATATCACGGCTTTTAGGCCAAGGGAAAGGGGTCATGTACCCTTTTGGGGCTGGAATTAGGCAATTAAGTTTCTCCTCGTGAGATGGGCAATGTCTTTCCTTATGTATCATATTCTCCGTGGGATATCTCATTGCTCTGTCTTGTTCATAACAAGGCGTATAGTCAGTGAATCGGACATCACAAGGCTCGAACACTTTCGCCTCTGGTTCATAAATTCCTTTATCATTGTGGTGAGATTCGAATCTCAAATGGGGCAAAATTTCGCATTCTGTGATCCTATTAACATCCATGGCGATTCTATCTCCCTTTCCAGAACCACCCTTTTGCCATGCTCCAAAAAGATAAAATAAACCGCACAGACCAATCACATAAAATATTGAACAACTTCTTCGGTGGCCTGATAATGACTTGTTCTTAGAACCCATTAATTAGCCAATATTTCTATTCTCCCACACCTACGGAAATATTGTGATCACCAGGACTCCATCCACTGTAACACACGAAATTAACTCTCTAAGTCTAAAGCAATCAGATGTTGACTATTAGTTTACTATCATTCCTGACTGAACAACGTAAACTAGCACTGTCACTATTTAAAGCATGGGAAAACGTTTTAGAAACAAAAGACAATTTTCTTTGCATTTTTCATGCAGCGAGATTAATGGCTCTTAATCTGACAGAGTGAAAAGAACAGAAACAGAATTCGTCATATCATTTTATCATCGTCTTCAGACAACCCAGACAACTACTATACTAGACAGTTCATTCAAGGAGAAGTGGTTTCAGTTTAAACATGAAGTCAATCAACGAAAAGAGAAGCACGGAAAACTACGGTTAAATCTGGCTTCTTTATACCAGAGCAAATGAAACAAAATGAAAAAAGCGAATAAAATAGCAAACGAATTGGATGGTTGAGAAACTTAGAGAAGACGGAATCGGAAAAACTGTATAAGGAGTGCGAAGAGGAACCTGAGAACAGACGTATCACTCTGGAGGGAAATGAAGTGCGTGCCTTTCACCTCGCAGTCATAAATAGTCTCACTGAGAAAACAGGGAAGAACATCAAAGTTTGATTGGAATTGAATTCGAGAGCAGAAGACGACCTTTCATAGTTGTATCGGATGATTGTGGTCTTCGGGCCGTTCAAAGAGTTGGCCTCTGTTTTTCCGTGGGAAACGGAACAACCAAGGGATAATATGTCGCATTCGACTATTCTCCTACACCCCCGCCCCAAAAAAAAAAAAAAAAAGAAATTATATAACAACACATGTCTTGCCGGTATACCAATATTAAGAATATTCTAATTCTAATTTATTTAACATGAGAATTGAGGGCCTCACTTATAAACTTTTTTACGTAGATCGAGACATGCTTATAAGCCATTTTATTTGATTTCAAATAGAAAACTCTGCTAAATGACACCCAAACGGCCTTACAAGAAGCTTAGCGGTATTAGAGTTTTTTTTTTTTAAATGATTGAGGGTGAGGGGGGTACGAATTCGAGCTCTTTGTAATTTAGGTTGCTACATTTTAAAAACGAAAAAAGCTTAGGGATTTGGAAAATGAAAGGCGTGTGGACAAAAATGCCCTCCTGAAGCAAAGAGCCTTGTTTGAGTGCAATTTCTTCACCCCTCCTCACGCGGAGGAGAGTCATCTGGCCTGCCATCGTAGAAGCCGTCAAGCACACAGGATATCTACATTGGGAAGACAAAAAAGGGACTGTCTACTTATGCATTACTTGTACGTAACATAATTTATTAAAATTTTTAAATATGGCATAGACGACCCTCAAAATACGACGGGACGCTACCATTCATGTAATTTGTTGTTCCCTAAAGTGTACTGTATATTTATTATTACCTCCGGTCCTAATTATAAGACCCAGTTGACTTATTTGAAGAGATTAAAGAAGTAAGTTAAGTTAGTTATTTGTAATAAATAAGTGTTGTCATTCGTAAAATATCCTTGCTAATTAAGTATATTGGCTAGAACTATCATTATTAGAAAGCCTATCTTGAAAAAAAATACATAAATATAAGAGACAAAATGGATTGGGGTCTTATAATTAGGACCAAACAAAAAGTCAAATGGGGTCTTATATTAAGGACCGGAGGTAGTATTATCTCTGATTCTAGATATAAGGACTAGTTGATTAATTTAAGTAGATTAAGAAAATAAGTTAAATTAGTTATTTATAATAAATAGGTACTGTCCTTTCTAAAATACCCCAACTAATTAAGTTTATTGGCTAAAACTATTATTATTAGAAGGATTATCTTAAGAAAAAATAAATAAATTTGAGAGATAAAATAGATTTATATCTTATATTAAAAATCAAAATAAAAATCAAATGAAATTTTATATCAAGACAAGGAGATAGTATTATTATTTTTGGATAACTCAAAAAGAAACTTAGCTGGCAACATGCGCCAGCTAGGAAGGCTTATTCTTTTTCTTTTTCTTTTTTGCCAACAGGAAGGCTTAATTCAAATCTTTAAATGGTATGCAACAAAGTCCTCTGTATTACGATGATCTGAAAGTGCATGTCAGGGTTGTGCTGTTAAATGGATAAAACATGTGACACGGTTATTTTTCAATTATTTATGTAAAACTCTGGATTTTTTTTAGAACTATTTGTTTGTTTAGCTAATATGCTTTCTTTTTTTTTTGGGGCCAACGTTAAGTGGATATGTTTAATATTAGTACTTACAAAATCATGTAAATACATGTCATACCTACATTCTAAAATTTTAAAATTTATCTCATCTAATATTATTGAAGCGAAAAGGCAAATTTATCATGATACACGTGTTGCATTATGTGGTCTTATCTTACACAATTTATCATTAGTGGAATAAAATTAGTGTTCTTAAGAATAAAATAATCATAAAAAAATTTGTGAATTTGATGCTTAAGCGTAATTTTATTTCTACCTGCCATTTGAACTGATTATTTAGTTGCCTATGTATCCGACTAAAATTTTCTCTCCATCTACAAGTATCCTTCTATTGGGGTAATTTTGAAGCGTACTAGATGTGAACATCCTAAAATTTAAACTTCAATTTGTCTCGTTAGCAGTGATTAGTTATTTCTGTTAAATCTAATTCGTATTAAAAACAAAAGACAGAACGCTGGTTAAAAAAAAAAAAAACAGACAGAACGGTAGTGGGGAAATTCAACAACTGCAAGTCAGGAAAAAAAAACGACAAAATGGCCGGAGCGTCAATGCAGTACAGAGGCCCGACCCTGAGCTAAAGGATTGAAGCAGCCGGGCGATCTCTCGGGCACAAATCCGTCGTCCCTCTCGCCATGAACGAGCAGCAAAAGTCTCTCTTTTTTAGCTCATCTTCTCACTTCTTGCCCCCTCAAGGTTCGCATTTTTTCTTCCTCTCTGCCTCCTCTCCCATGAAGTCTTTCCCTTATGCTTGGATACCTCGTTGTTGCTAGGAGTAAAGCTATCATACGGCACGGCTGGATTCAGAACCGATGCATCACTTCTATCATCGACGGTGTACCGGGTGGGCATTCTTGCGGCTCTGAGGTCGCTGAAGACCCAGGCGGTGATCGGCTTGATGATCACGGCCTCACATAACAAAATCTCCGATAACGGCGTCAAGATCGCTGATCCGAATGGCGGAATGCTCACTCAGCATTGGGAGCCCTTTGCGGATGCTCTTGCCAATGCCCCTTCTCCTCAAGATCTAGTCCAGGTTGGGAGACAAGTTATTTCCTTTTCTCTTTTCTTTTCATCTGCGTGGTCGTTTGAGTTGTATTTTATTCGTCGCGGCATTCTTTTGCTAGGTTTGAAGAATCAAATAGTTCACAAATTGAAGTCATTCAATAAAACTATAGTGAAACCTCAATTCCATGAAACGCTTATAGTAGATTAATAATTAGGTGTTGTATTAAATAACTCAGCATTAATATGATTTTGCGTTATCTACAGCTGATAAACGACTTTGTTAAGAAGGAAGACATTCCATTCAATGGATTCAGACCAGCTGAAGTAATTTTGGGGAGAGACACAAGACCAAGTGGAGACGCATTGCTTAAAGCTGCTAAAGAAGTATAAATCCATATCCAACTATGAAGCTTATAGGAGCTTTTTTCCCCCCTTGCCTATTTAAATAACGTATAACTGGATAAAAATGAAGGGAATTGCTTCAATTGTTGGTGCCATTGCGACTGACATGGGAATTTTGACGACTCCGCAATTACATTGGATGGTTCGTGCTAGAAATACGGGCATGCAAGCCTCAGAAGAGGATTACTTTGAACAGCTTTCAAGCTCATTCAGGTTAATCCCTGATAATTAATATACTTAGATACGACTCCTTTTTTATCCCCTGTTTTAATTGGTTCCAAATTTGACTGAGCATATCTGTTTAGGATTATTTTCTGATTGGATCAGGTGCTTAATGGATTTGATCCCAAGTGAAAAAAGCAACTGCAGTGGGTCAAGTGACAAGTTAGTAGTGGATGGTGCTAATGGCGTAGGTGGAGGAAAACTTGAAGTTTTGCAGAAACAGCTGAAGGGTTTGTCAATTGAAATCCGTAATTATGGTGAAGATGGAGGTGTACTGAATGAAGGAGTTGGTGCTGATTTTGTGCAGAAAGAGAAGTTTGTTCCTAATGGGTTTGGTTCCAAAGACGTTGGGATAAGGTTAGTCTTTTCACTGTTTTGATGAAGTTGCTTGATTAGCACAAGTAATTCCAAGTATGGTTAAAATTTGAAGTGGCCATTCATCTGAAAATTGATGATTGCTAAAACAACTGAGAGCAGCATTCTTGGTTGCAAGACATGGATGACGGTTTTAATTTAATTCATTCAGGGAGGAAGGGAGGAGGAGGAAAAGGGACCTATGGGGGAGGGGTGGAAGATGTTTAGACTGATAGAGAACTTCGTCATGCCCTTGATTTGATCTGCAAACTTCTCAAAGGGATTCTATCTTGGTGACATTTGCTATGCTACTAATTCATGTGATGGTTTACTTTTGCAGGTGTGCTAGTTTGGATGGAGATGCCGATAGGCTTGTTTATTTTTCTGTCACACCGGGAAGCAACAGTAAGATTGAACTTGTTGATGGGGATAAGATACTATCTCTTTTTGCCTTATTTATCAGGGAGCAACTTATCATTCTCAGTGAAGAAGAGGGTGCAAAGAACAGTCGCCAAGCCCATCTTGGTGTTGTGCAGACAGCTTATGCAAATGGAGCATCAACAAATTACCTCAAAAAGCTGGGACTGGAGGTCAATTTTACCCCAACTGGGGTGAAATACTTGCATGAAAAAGCTGCTGAATTTGATATTGGTATCTATTTTGAGGCAAATGGCCATGGAACCATCTTATTTTCAGAAGCCTTCATTGGGTGGTTGGTGGCAAGAACTAAAGAGCTTTCATCAAGATCTAAAGGTCTATTCAGTTCACTTGAATATTTCTATCTTCTTTGTAAGATTTAACTGTAGAACCATAAAATAAGTGTTTGTTGCTTCCTTTAGGTTCAGAAGCGGAAAAGGCTGCTTTAAGGCTACTGGCGGTCAGTAAATTGATCAACCAAGCTGCGGGAGATGCTTTGAGTGGATTGCTTTTGGTGGAAGTCATATTACAGCACATGGGATGGTCAATACATAGATGGAATGAGCTTTATCATGATTTACCTAGCAGGCAGCTTAAGGTAGGCGAAATTCTTTTTCTGTATTCGGAAGCTGCAGCTGGATCTTAATTATATGTTCATTTGGTCCTTTTCCGCGTGAAAATGATTCTTTGTATTGTTCTATATTACATGACTCACAGTTCTTAATTTCCAGGTTAAAGTTGCTGATAGAACTGCTGTGGTTACAGCAAATGCAGAAACAGTGGTTGTAAGTCCCCCCGGCCTACAAGAAGCCATTAATGCAGAAACTGGTAACTTGTTCTTCGTCTGTTGCTTTTTCTGCCCAACTGTTTGCTTGAAACTTGTGAGTTCTGACGATTTTCTTAGTTATCACGGCATCACACCTATCAAATTCTGTTGCTTAGGCACGGTTTCCTTGCTGACTCCTTGCTTCATTTTTGGCTTGACATGCTGATGGGAAGGAAACTGTGATAGAAAACAACACTGAACAAAGCTACTTCCTTCAACAACAATGAACAATCATGCATAGAGTTAACAATGCTAAAAGGCAACCCTCGCGACCACTCAAACAACACTTGCAAATACAGAAACAGTTGCATAAAATAAACAAGACAGAGCGTGTGTGTGGAGCCGGGGTCATTGTTCTCTCAAAAACTTCCACAAAATTCTCTAGGCCTCACAGTAACTTCCCTCTTCCCCCTACTCGCCACCCCAAAAACCATATAACTCGATCAGTTATCATCCTGAAGCTTCTCCTCTTCCCAATTTCTACGCTCACTTCCTTTGACTCCAACTTTTCCTAGAATACTCGAGGGATCTATCATGGATTAGCTTATTGTTACTCCCTTGTGTCTGAAAATAACATCCCAAAGAAGGGGAAAAAGGAGAGCGATAGTCTTTTCAGGGGGTGTTTGGATGAAACCAAACCATGGTTTGAAGAATAGCTTTTGGAGAATAGATTTTTGGGAGAATAGGTTTTGTGAAGAATAGATTTTCGGGAGAATAGGTTTTGTGAAGAATAGATCTTGTGAAAAAGTGATTCTGATAAAGTGAGAGTGTTTGGATAGTTATTATCAGAATCACTTTTTTTATATACAAGTTACTAAAAAAGGCATAAATTGATATGATAATTATATAAAAAATAGATTTTATAATATATTTTAATTTGAAGAATAAAATTGTTAATAATATATTCTTTACTAACATGATTAATAATATATAAGATAATATAATTAATAAATAATTAATGTGTATATATATTTATAAATTATAAGATTAAATATGTTTATAAAAAAAAATTGATGGGTGTTAAAGTCATATTATCGTTGGGATCTATTCTGACAAGCACAATCATACTCTCCAGTTTGAGCCAGAAGCAAAATGGATTCACTTTTTCTAAAACTATCGTTTTGACTCCAAAATCATGGTTTTGGCCCAAAACTGTGGTTTGCTTATTTTCTCCCTTGTTTGATATTTTGGTTTGGGTCCTAAAACTATGGTTTTGGCCTTAAATTGTATATGCTGCCGTGGGGGCTTCAATATTTTTTTTGCAATGTATCAACTATCAAGTAAATTTAAGGCTCAGTATTTGGGCCATGTCTGCCCGAATGGAACTGGTTTGATGATGATGATGATGATGATGATGATAGGGGCTTAATACACATTTTGATCCCTTAAGTTTATTTTATTTTAATTTTGGTCCTTCAAATTTCAAACTATAGTTTTTGGTCTCTCAAATTTCCTTTCATTTAAAATATTAGCCCCTATAATCTAATAAAAACTTGAACTATTTTGCCTATTGAAGAATCAAAACCTATAGTTTGAAATTTGAGAGATCAAAACCAAAATGAGGACAAATTTGAAGAACTAAAAATTATATTAATCTATAATAATAATAATATTGTCCATTTCACGCATTTTAATAATGCCTTTTAGCTACCAAGATTAGGCTTCGTAATAATTTCAATTCACTGACAATGTAGCCAAGCACTCCCAAGGACGTTGCTTTGTGCGGCCATCTGGCACTGAGGATATTGTTCGAGTTTACGCGGAGGCATCCACGCAAGAAGCAGCGGATAGCCTTGCCAGCTCTGTGGCAAAACTTGTGGATCAATTCTTGGGTTGCAACAGTTAGAACCTTTCGAGCAAGAGCTCTTCAGTTTCGCCAAATCATAGGAATGTTGGGTCTAGTCTTGGAGGCGTCTTCTTTGTTTTCTAATGTAAAAGTACATCATCGTTGCCTGTTGTTCTTATCCTCTCTGTTTTTTTCTTCCACGACAAGATTAGTGGGGTGAAGGTGGTATCCTTGCTGTTAGCTTTGTGGGGGTTTGTTTCTTGTATTTTATCAGCATTATCCCGATGACCGAAGAGCCGAAGATGCTAAAAGAGACAGCGTTGAGGTTCCAAATGGTCAAGTGGAAATCTGTTGGATTGAACTCATCAGTTTTAATTTATTGAGATTATTTAATCCAGTTAATAAGGAGTTAATTTATAACCTGCACGATTGTAAGTTTTAATATCACTGCTAATATAGTGACCTTATTATCGGGTGATAAGTGCTGTTCAAATGTTGAGGCATGTTCTGACTTTTTCATAAATTTATAAAATTCGACTAACCTAAATTTTTATAGAAAAGAAAGTTAAGTGAAAGAAAAGTATCTTTAGTGAATGAGAGAGATGCTCTACAACTTTGGTGTCTCGTGGAATTCGGAATCCAAAATTCGTCAGCCATGATCACGATTTCGGACTTGCGTACTACCAAGCAAATCACATCGAATACAATCAAGGAAAAGATGCGCACTATATTGAGTTAATCTATCGCCTAAGTCATTGAATCTTGTTTATTTTGTGCATTCTTCAGATGAAGGAGTCTTGGGCACGTTAATTAAAGTGTTTGTACTGATAAAACGTACGAGTAGAATACAAGATGACGATGTAAAATGCTTGATACTTCTTTTTTTTAGCATGGGATAATTGCTTGGGATACATCATTTTAATACTCGATTTAAAAATTATAACTGAAATTATCACGTGACAAATATTCAAACTTGAACAATTATGGAAATTTTAGCGTACTTTTTCTCGACTATCTTCTTAAAATATGGAGGGCACAAACGTCTATAGACAAAATATTACAAACTAAGTCATGAAGTGCTTGCATATGTGTATCCACATTTGCTGATAAAAAGCGGTGTTTTTAAAAGTTGATTTATAAAATAATTTTTATAGTTTTTAAAAATAAAAAATGAAATATTTATAAACAATTTAACTGTTAAAAAGCATTCTTTTTTATATGGAAAAGATTAAATATAAAAAGTTATATAATTAATCTGAAACAATATGGTTTCGCGAGATTTAAAAATCCGATTCTGATGAATGTTTAGAGATAAGAATGATTATCATTAACCGTCACTCTGGCACGTCTTTGGTTTCCGTTCAGTTTTACTTGAGTCCTACTCAAATTCTTCTGTGTTTCTTCTTTTTCCCTTCTTTTCGGTAAACAAACGCAGAAGAGGGGAAGCTAGGGAATAGTCCAGTAACAAGAGAACTACTAAGAATTAACGGCAAGATTTCTTAGCAAGGTTAGTCAGCTTCCTCGTTGGCTTGAGGATGGATTATCTCAATCTTCCGCCATCCATTGCCCCGTTACCATATCCTTAATTTTATCGGTTTAGTTCTTCTACTGGCCGTGCGCTTAAATTACTTAGTTTTATAGTGTTGCTTCCCTTCCTCTCCTCAGTCCTCCCCCTGTTCATTTTCTTTTCTCTTTCATCGCATGCATACTCGTTTTCTTTCCTTCGCTCCGCGGATAGGGTTTCTGAACCTGAATCAACCGCAAGGGTGAGTGCATCGCCGTGTCCAATGGCCACTATGAGGTGATTATATGATTGGAGAATTGGATATTAAGTGTATAAACTATAAAAATATTCGTGGAAACATTTCAAACTGACATAAAATCTGAAGTAGGTAAAGCAATACATGAGGTGCTCTTAATTCAACACACTGCGTTGACTTTGAAGCTTAAGTTCTGTTTATGAGCTATGACTTGTTCCCATTGAAGTGAGGAAAAATCTATCTTGCCTCCTTTCATAAATGGAAAGTGTTTATATGCAGTCTTTAAAGACATTTATACAATCAGGACTAAAGGAGTCCTATTCATGTACGCAGTGTACATTGACTAATTACGATAAGTTCATCTTCAACTTGGTGGCTTCTGTTGTCATGTAGCACTGGCAGCCAAGACCTCTGTACTAAACAACGAGAACGTTCTTAAAAGGGCAGCTGACTTAAATGATGCTTTACTCAAGGCCTGCTTCATAATTCACTGTTATGCACAACAATTTTCCTAATCTTTCCCCTTCACGGAGATAGATCAAGAGCAGGCGGTGCAAACTACAGGTTAGTTGTTCATTCAAATTCGCTTGGTTTTTGTTGAACTGACTACCACAGAGATAGAACAAGACGGTGCCTTTTTTCCTTGGCCAGGTGAAAAGAAGGTACATAAGCCTTCTTTAAAACGTTTCACTTTCTATCTCCTCTTAGCATGAGGGATATTCCAAGGTTTATTAATTATCATGGATTAGATAAATACGGCCATGTCTTGTTTTGAGACCTTATAATTCAAACTTGGAAGTTGTCGGAGCTTGCCAATTTGAGGAAGCGATATTTGTTTTTTATTTTATTAATTTCAACATCGCATTGGTAAAAGCATTAGTAATTTAATACAGCAGGAATTTATTATTCATTGTAATGATTTGGTGGAAGCGCTTAGTCCAAAGGGAAAAAAGGGGGAAACTTGGCACCTATCGCATCTTATTCCTTTATGGAATACATACCTAATCAATTATAGGATTTCGAAGTTTAACTAGTTTTGGATTGTATTTGACAGAAATCTGTTAAGTCTGCTATGTTTTTTTATTAGGTGACAAGAAAGAGCAGAGTTCTCACATGGACATGGATGCCACTCGACAACCTCAGCGCTCAAGATTCAGAGAATACAAAAGATGGTTCCTAGTGTCCCTCTACATCGTCTTTCTTCTGGTAGGCCAATCTGCAGCCACTCTTTTGGGAAATCTTTACTATGACAAAGGTGGTAACAGCAAATGGATGGCAACATTCGTTCAGTCAGCTGGATTCCCAGTTCTAATTCCTCTCCTTTTTTACTTTTCACAACGACGCAAACCCACGAGCGACATTCCCAAAACCAAACCAAGTGTTTTTACTTTTGCCCTTCTCTACCTAGCTTTTGGCTTACTCTTGACAGGTGACAACCTCATGTATTCCTATGGGCTTCTATATCTCCCTGTTTCCACCTACTCTCTTCTATGTGCTACCCAATTGGCCTTCAATGCTCTATTCTCTTACTTCCTTAATTCCCAAAAGTTCAGCCCTCCCATATTGAATTCCTTGGTTCTCCTAACCATATCAGCTTCCCTTCTTGCAGTCAATTCTGATTCCGAGGAGTCAAAGGCTTTATCGAAAATAGAGTATATAATTGGGTTCCTCTGTACACTTGGTGCATCTGCTGCATATTCTTTATACCTCTCCCTTGTACAGCTTTCCTTCGAGAAAGTTATAAAGGCAGAGACCTTCTCTTCTGTGTTGAATATGCAGTTCTACCCAAACTTCCTCAGTACATGTGGTTGCGTTGTGGGATTGTTTGCAAGTGGAGAATGGAAAACTCTGAACAATGAGATGAAGGAATACCAAACAGGAAGGGTGTCTTACATAATGACTCTGGTTTGGACAGCTGTGACGTGGCAGGTTTCCACCATGGGAATGCTAGGGCTGATCTTGGAGGTGTCTTCTTTATTTTCAAATGTAATAGGTACAGTGTCGTTGCCTGTTGTTCCCATTCTATCAATTTTTTTCTTCCACGACAGGATCAACGGGGTGAAGGTGGCATCCTTGCTGTTAGCTTTGTGGGGTTTTATTTCTTATATTTATCAACATTATCTCGATGACCAAAAAGCCAAGGCAGCTAAAAGAGATAGTGTTGAAGTTCCACATGGTCACCTGGAAATTTGTTGAGTGAAGGGACCAATTTTGATTCAGTAATCCCCTCCTAGATATTTTTGACATATGTCAATGGATTTTGTTTCTCAATGTTGTGTGATTTTGTCTTGCGTGCTGCTATTATAATTTACAGGTCATTTTTTCTTCACATAGGTTAGTCAATGGGCTTTGCTACTGAGCACCCGTTGCAACATGGGTATATTCCACGAGACCAGAAAAGGTACCTTTATTGGACATACAAGATCATGTGAGTGAGTCTGTTTGTGTGTGTGTGAGAGAGATGCATTAGAGCTTTACTTCGGTGTTTAGTGGAAGTTTGAATTTCTTCGGCCATGATCACCATTTCGAACTTGTGCGCGCTACAAAACAACCGATATAGAACATGGGCAAAGAAAATACGCGCACTGTATCAATCTTAAAATTTACGGGGGTGTTTGGATAGAAACCAAACCATGGTTTCAGAAGTGCTTTTACGGATTACGAAGTAAATATGTGGAGGAGATTACCTCGTTTTGCGGAAAAGTGCTTCTGAAACCATGGTTTTGGGTTTCGCCATTGGGAAGCGAAAATCCTCAATTACTATTACTATAGGAACGAGATTTTAAAATTAAGGGAGTCTCCTTTATGCAAGCGATTTTTTTTTTGAAAACCTTGCGAGAAAAAAGATTTTGAAAATAAAAAATTACAAACAGGGACTCGTTATAACATTAGTATTGGTTTTAACAATAATTTTTATAAATGGGTATCTGTATGCAATTTTTTAATTTTAGGGTCTATTTTTTGCAATTTTTCTTTTTTTCTGAACTTCGACAAAATGATATATTAAAATGAAGAGTTCAAATATTATAAACAGTCAGATAATCTATATCAGCTACGTTAAATGAAAGAAAACTACTTTTGGAAATCACATCAATATAATAAGAAGAGAAATTATAAATTAGAGAGAAAATTCCCTGCCAAGTGATGGATGAAACATCGAAAATAGATGGTGAAAAGCCAAGAAACAGTTTTCAACGCAATGAATGTGAAGAGAAGACTTAAGTAGCCAAATAAATCTCCTTGTTTTCGCTAGCGCATCGACTAATCTAATTCAAATGGCCTCATCAACAGCACTTTCAGAAGCATCTCCTCTTGTGATTCACCGGACTTCTTAGCTTGAAACAACCAGACCTTTTCTGAGCGAGGGATCATGACACCAGAGTTGATGATTGAAGTGCAGCTCGCAGATATTTTGAATGAAATTCAGTACCAGCAATGATGGTATTTCTCCAAAAAAATTCCTTAATGCATTGACCAGAATAACAAAGTACTTCTTGCCAATAATAAATTACTCCTCCAGTCCTTAATATAAAGCATAATTGTTGAGTTGATTTTGATCCTAAATATAAGACTTATTTCTCATATTTATCAATTTTTCTTAAATTACTCCTATAGATACTCCCTTAACCATAATCAAATAAAAGAGGGAGAGGGGATATTAAGTAAGATGATTATAGTGTTTTAGGAAAAACATGTCATATTCCTTAAAATTAACTAACTTACTTAACTTTATTATATTAAGGACTGGAGGAGTATCTTCCTTTTGTATTTAAATAAAACCGCATCTCAGCCATTAGGACTAAATGCAACTGAAAATATAAGATGATTTTATTATTGTTTTTTGGGGCTGTGCGCGCAGCGTCGCACTCAATATTATTTAATTAAGCACATTTTTCATACGTTACAAAAATGTCTAAAACAATTACATTATCCATGACTCATAAATGGCCAGGTTTCACATATACTTTATAGTATACATTGATTGTGAACATAGATAGTGAAATAATTTTCTATACGTAATTTTTAATATTTCCATGGTTAAAATTTCAAATTAATATGAAATAATAAATTTATAAATTTTTTTTAATAATAATATAACAAGTTTATGTGCATACTCTAGAGTCTAGTGGTTGATCCGGGCACGGGATTTGGGCCACTTGGCAAGACAATGGGCCGGTTTTGATTTGAATGGGCTCTACATAAAGGCCCAAATATGCTTGAGCATATAACAGAAAAGTAAAATATCCCGCCAGAATCGCATTCAAAAACTCCTCGAAGTTCAAAACCGTTCACACTCTTTTTAATTAAAAATAAAATAGTACTCGTATTAATAACAACAAACGGAGACTGCATAAAAAAGCAATTGACTCAGGTCAGTTCCAAAGCATGTCACCACCAAACAGACTCCGCCCACCACCACTATAAGAGGGCCTCTTACGTGGCTCCTCAGCCTTACTTCATGAACAACGACTTCTTCGTTGGCAACCCCACTCTTCCTTCCTAGCAAAGCCAATTTAATTTTAAAAATATACGGCAAAAATCGTTACGCTCCCTAACTGAAACAAAATAGCTTCCCTTCTCCTCCTCCTGTTCATTTTCTTCTTCTCTTTCACCGCTTGCTTCCTCGTCTCATTCGCTCGCTCTGCGGATAGGATTTCTGAGTCTCAATCAACCGCTAGGGTAGCGGCACCGCCTGGTCCAATGGCCACCATGGAGGGCTTAATTGGCCTCGTCAACCGAATTCAGAGAGCTTGTACGACTCTCGGCGACTACGGAGGTGACTCTGCTTTGCCGACGCTATGGGAGGCGCTTCCCTCTGTAGTCGTCGTCGGTGGACAGGTTCGCTTTTTGTTTTTCCTTTTTTGGTTAAACGAGGCAATCTATTCGCATTTTAGACGGCTCTGCTGTGCGCTGTGTTTGTCTTTTTTCGCTGTATGAGTAACTTTATTCATATGAGCAAGAATTTACTTGTTTCTCTGGCTTGGCATGCGTTAATATGGATTTCAGAGCTCTGGAAAGTCTTCGGTACTAGAAAGCATTGTCGGCCGCGATTTTCTGCCCAGGGGATCAGGTTAGCAGTTGTCTATTGCTAACGGTTGTGCTCTCTCCTCTCTACTTAATTTCGTATTTTGTTTGGCTGCTAAGAAAGTGAAGAAGTGGCAAATACTATAACCGACGTATCTGGTTCTTGCATCATATACTATCTCCCACTACTGTTTCGTACCTGGAAAAATTTTTGGTGAAATTTTCTCTGTCTTTTACCGTAAGGTAGAAAAGAAAACGGAAGAATGAGATATTTTGAGTGGTGAAAAATGTCTCATGAAGTTTCTTTGTCGTTGTTTTAGTCTCTGGTGAACGATGCTTGGCTCTCCTTATATTTTGACATTTTATGTGGTTTTTAGGGATTGTGACGCGAAGGCCCCTAGTCTTGCAGCTGCACAAAATAGAAGAGGGGCTGCAGGAGTATGCAGAATTCCTTCACTTGCCGAAGAAAAAAATCACAGATTTCTGTATGTCTTGTGTGACTTGTTAATTATTATGAATATGTTTTCGCTTGCAGCAACATGTTTTCTATAACTTTCTTTATTTTTATTTTGTACTGATTTTAAATTTGTTCCTTGTTTGCTTAAATATCTTTTGAAGCTATGGTTCGAAAGGAAATTCAAGGCGAAACTGATAGAATGACAGGGAAGTCAAAACAAATATCTCCTGTTCCTATTAATCTCAGTATATACTCCCCGAATGGTATGCAAACAATTAAATTTTACTTTTCATACAACTGCTGTGCATTTCTTGGTCTCATTTTTTATTAACATCTGACACAGCGATTAAGAATATGTCTGTGAAAATGTAAAAGTAATTAGGTCGTTTCCACCTTTTGTGGCTCTGGAGAGTAAATAATTGCTTAACATCTTCCCGACTAAAGTGGGAGCATTTAATCAGGATAATTTGCTAGCTGTGTACCAAATGACCATTTTCATTTCCTAGCCGCTAAAGAATGTCAACGCTTTATTTTCCTTTATTTTTCTCTTTATGGTCGTTTAATTCCTTTTTCTCTTCCTGTTTGCCCTTCCATTGTAATTATTTTCTTTCTTGTCTTCATGCTAGTGCTTCTGATATCTTTTCCTCCTACCTGTACTCCACTATTTTATAACATTATCTCTGAGAGCTTGAATTCTTTGAGTTTTCTGCATATCCTTTAACATCTGTATGTCTTAATGATCCCTATTCAAGTTTATCTGATGATAATCATACTTGTCTTCTTGGTAGTTGTCAATCTGACATTGATTGATCTGCCGGGCTTAACGAAGGTTGCCGTAGGTATACTTTCTAACCAGTTTCTTTTCTCAATTGAACCAGAATTCTTCATAACACCAATTTCTAAGCGATATATTTTTTTTTTTTTAAATCTAGAGGGACAGCCAGAAAGTATTGTTGAAGATATTGACAATTTGGTTCGCTCATATGTTGAGAAGGTAGTTAAAAGATTCTCCTCTCCACATACACACACTACCAATGGCACTACCAGTCCTTAAACAGGGAATTTCGATCTTGGTTCATTTTCACAAAAGCTTGATATTTTTACTGTGACTAGAAAAGTGTGCCTACTTAATGGCTTTACTTCTAACTTCACTTCTTATTTTTAAGAAGCTTCATTTTTTAATAAAGCATACTAAATATCAATACCTCTTGACAATTACATGTTGTAGTCTTTCTTTCAGTTTTTAGAATTTAAACAAAATGACGAGTGAATATTGCCATGGACACCTGGGGGTCAAGGACTTATGACGGATGTGGACGCTCTTCCTATCTGTTGCCTGCAATAATTTGATGGCCCTAAAAAGTGCGTGCTTTTGTTTTTTTAACTTGGTATCACAGCCAAATTGTATAATTCTGGCAATAACACCAGCCAATCAGGACATAGCAACATCAGATGCCATTAAGATGGCCAGAGAAGTTGATCCTACAGGTATACTCGTTTCATCTTGTTAGTTGTTGATACTCCATTTCATGTATTTATTTTCCAATTTTTCTCATTAGGTGCTCGTGCTTTTTTCTCTACAATAAATCCATGATGTTTTTGTTTTAGGTGAAAGAACATTTGGTGTGTTGACAAAGTTAGATTTGATGGACAAAGGAACAAATGCTTTGGAGGTAATCGAAGCTCCGAAGTACATAGTCATGAATATAATACTTAGTTTCTTAAATCCATGCGGACGCGATCATAGAAATCTTAATTACTGTGGTTATGATGTTTCCATTTGATTCTTAATGAAGGTTCTTGAGGGAAGATCATATCGACTTCAACACCCATGGGTAGGGATCGTGAATCGTTCACAGGCAGATATTAATCAGAATGTAGATATGATCGCTGCTCGGCAACGGGAGCGAGAATTTTTCGCGGGCAGTCCTGATTATGGGCACTTGGCCAGCAAAATGGGATCAGAATATCTAGCAAGGCTTCTCTCAATGGTTTCTATTGATCATTTCTACCTTTTTTCCCTGGCTATTTTGATGATGGGATGGACATTTTATCTGCTTCCTTTTTCTTATAGTTCTTTATAAGGTTAATTGGTCACTCGAAGAATTGATTTGTTTTTCAGCATTTAGAGTCTCTGATAAGAGCTCGGATTCCTGGAATCTCTTCTTTAATTAATAGAAGCATTGATGACCTTGAAGCAGATTTGCGCCACCTGGGCAACCCAGTTGCTGTTGATGCTGGGGTGAGGAGTACTATTATATCTATTGGTTCTATGGTCGGGTTTATAGTTGCTCGCAAGGTGGATATAATTTTTGTCAATTTGTTTTGATCTTTTCAGGTCCAGTTGTATACTATTCTAGAATTATGTCGTGCATTTGACCGCATATTCAAGGAGCATTTAACTGGAGGGTAAGCTAACTTCGTTATTGTATTTAGTTTTCTGCCTTGTCGAATTCAAGATGACAGTCATTTCAAGTGGATGTTTGAGTTCATTCTTTACGGGCAACAGTTTTTTTTCCCGTGATTCCTAGAATTGTCACCCTCATTGGATTATAATTTTTCCCCGAAGAAATTTACTCTACTTCATTGCATTCCTTTTTTTCAGGCGACCTGGCGGTGACCGAATTTATGGAGTTTTTGATCACCAGCTTCCTGCTGCGCTGAGAAAGCTTCCCTTTGACCGTCATCTGTCGTTGCAAAATGTGAGAAGGGTTATTTCAGAGGCAGACGGCTACCAACCTCATCTGGTCGCCCCCGAACAAGGTTATCGACGCCTCATCGATAGCGCACTTAATTATTTCACAGGTCCAGCTGAAGCTTCGGTGGATGCTGTAAGTGCTTCTGCGCTACGTAGTTCAATGTGGTTCACCCTCTTCTATTGCAGTATCATTGTGTCCAATTTGGTGTCTCCGTGAAAATGGTCTCTCTCTCTCTCTCTCGTCCTAGAAACAACATTAGCTTTGACTACGGACTTCACATGCCGTTAAACTCTTCAGTTGGCTAGTTGGTGAAAAGCAATTTCTATATTCAATTTCATATATTCATATGCTATCGAAATTTACCGAGCTTCTTTCTTCTACATCGCTGGTCTTGTGGCAGATTCACTTCATACTAAAGGAAATCGTCAGGAGGTCAATTGCAGAAACGCAGGTTTGAAAAAGGGAAGGGGTGGGAAGAGAGATGAGGGAGTAGCAATTTTTTCCCAAGAAATTCTTAACCAGTCTTAAAATGGTGCAGGAGTTGAAGCGCTTTCCAACTCTGCAAGAAGAAATAGCAGCAGCTGCTGGTGAAGCGTTGGAGAGGTTTCGTGAAGAGGGTAAGAAGACAACCTTGCGACTGGTGGAGATGGAATCTTCATACCTGACGGTTGATTTCTTCCGGAAACTACCGCAAGAAGTCGACAAGGGAGGGAATCCAGTTCCCTCCTCTGCCGACCGATATGCTGAGGAACACTTCCGCAGGATAGGTTCAAACGTTTCATCGTATGTTGGAATGGTTTCAGAAACGCTGAGGAACACCATTCCGAAGGCTGTGGTTCATTGTCAAGTGCGGGAGGCTCAACGATCTTTACTTGATCACTTCTATACCAAACTGGGCAAAAAGGAGGTATCTAACTGACTAACTCGTCATGCTTAGCCTGCCACCGAATCAAATTATTTTAATCTGTCATTTAAAAAGAAAATATTATTTTTGACCCACAAGTGAAATATCATCTCTTAACTAATAGGATTGGGATAAGTAAAAACGCATCAATTCCTTTTAAGCAATCAACAAAGAAGAAGAAGATAAGTATTCAAAATAGTGAAAATACAGTGGAGCTTTGCAAGTTTGATAGACATGCTATAGCTGATGTATAATTTACTGCATAATATATACATTGAAATATGATCACCAATACCGATTGTAGGTTGTCTGGAACTAACTAGTTGAAACGGGGAGTGGGGGTCAACTCATTTTTTCCCGACTAACTTGCCGTTTATTTTTCAGGGAAGGCAACTGGCGGAGCTGTTGGATGAAGATCCTGCACTGATGGAAAGGAGGCAACAATGCGCCAAGAGGCTTGAATTATATAGGTCTGCTAGAGATGAGATTGATGCAGTTTCATGGTCCAGATGAAATGTGGGGGGTTTTGAATATAACAACTCTAAATTAAGACATTGTCTGCATATATTTTATTTATTTATTTATTTTGTTTATTTTTACCTGTTTTGAGGCTGGTAGGGAACCTGTAATATGCAGGCGTTCAAAATCCTAGGTTCAAGTGAACAATTTATGTAAGGCCCAAGAGGATATTTGAGCTTTCAGCTTTTTGCAGGTAATAAACCGAATGTTTGGTAAAGTTTGGCAGCGAGAAAACATAAACGTTGTCGACTTTCTCTTCCTTTTTTTAGCCTAAAAAAAGGCATGAGAAAACATGTAGGGATTAATTAGCCAAAGTTTGTGACTAAAATCTTTTAAGGAAGTGATTCTATTTTCTGTAACAGGAACATTCATAATAATAGCTTCGTCATCTATCACATGACTGACAAGAATTGCAACAACAATGGACTTTTCTTGACATGAGATCAAAACTAACGGTCCAATCACACAGGTGGTGAATTTGTTTGATCTAGCCAATGAGAAAATGACATTGAGATATGTCACTATCAATTGGCTACAATAATTTTGCAATAACCCTAATTCGAACCAAAACAAAGTCCTTCATAGATCTCCATAATCTCTGCAGCTGTGCGTGTATTTTTTCGGCCACTAAAGTTTTTTGGGGCATGTTTACTTGCCTGTGCAGTGTACAAAAGCATCTTTACAGATAATGGATACTGTTGAAATTGAAGACCGTAGGAGCCCTGTTACGCGATCTGCTGGTTTCCGGATCACAATGATCAAGAACCAGAACAAAAAGAATGGATTTATTTTTTGGGATTGATCCCAGCCAATCAATATTAATCAGGTATCATAACATGAAATTGTTTCAATTCACAGTCAATGGTTGACTAGCTTACGCTGAGAAGCAAAAGGCTCCTCCGCCCAGAAACTTATTTTTGCCCAGAAAATTTGCCGTCTATTCATCAAAAGCTATATAGTTCATCGCCTAGGAGCACCAGCTTTGTCAAGTTCTTCCAAAGCTGCCCATAATTTTGGATCGTCATAATCCTTGATCAGGAAAGCAGGGTTCGCTTCCCACAGCAAATGCTCCGGGTTTCTGGTAGCCAAACCTACAACAGGCATCCCAGCCGCCACTCCAGCTTTGATTCCAGAAACGGAATCCTATGACAAAAAAGCCACGCTTGTCAGATCCTAAGCAGGTAAACATTAATCTATGAACGGAAGATCACAAGAATACAGACCTCGAATACAAAAGTGTGATCTTTGGATGCGATCAATGCTTCAAGACCCTTTAAGTAGGGATCCGGATGAGGTTTAGCATGTTCACATTCACTTCCAACAATAACAGCTTGGAAAAAGTCTTTGAGACCAAGTATAGATATCATTAGTTCTGCATTTGCTCTTGGAGCGTTGGTCACGGCAGCCCGCTTCAGGCCACGTTCTTCTATCCATTTCCTCACTTTGTCCAGGCCATTTAAGGGCTTCAGTTGCTCAGCTGCCAATCTGGTTGGTCCATCAAATAAATTATCCTCTAAAACATTACAAAATAAACCCACAATAATGAAGAAAGCAGATATTACTTCCGGAACATGGCTTCCTTATCATCTACAAACTTTAACCCCCGTTCCAAATCAGCAGGGAAGAGAGCCAATGCAATATCATCGTTGTGTTTGCCAGCAACGGTGTCAATAAAGAATTCCTCTGTTATTGGCTTCCCTTCGTTGAAACCAATCTGATCACCACCAAAGCTTCTATATTAGTTCTTTAATAGCTATGGCAATTTATAAATATGATTAAAAACATCAGTACAATCAAAACATATACAAGAACTAAACATCTGTCTTTTAAATTTTCGTCCAAGAAAATCTACCTCTTGAAGCATTTCTCGGAAAGCATAATAGTGGAGAGGATCAGAATCACAAAGAGTTCCATCAATATCAAACAACACTGCTTCAATGGGAGCAACCCTGGCAAGCGAACTGTTGCTGCAGCCAAACATAAAGGCAATTAGTAGAAAATCTAGAGAAGCCAGCAAACTAGCAGATAGAATAGGGTTTGGTTCATGACAGAAGTAGCATGTTAGTTGATAAAATATAGAATCTAGTGACTGATTGTTGTATATTTGCCCAGTGGAAAGGCTGTAACCTGCAAGACACTTAAAACACGATATAAAACCTAGGGAAGTGACAAACACTTGCAGCTATTGCACCTTTAAGGCAACAAAAAAATATTTACAGAGTACAATTTGACTGCATAGAAAGCCACTCTGCTTGATAACTGGCAACCTGGTAGAAGCTTATAAGCTGCCTGATCTCAAATTTAACATTAGAGCCACTTACCAACGCAATATGCATTCTTTCATCAAGTTTACAAAAAGAGTTCAAGAAATCCAGACTATATACTGCAACAATGATATAATAAAACTACACTGATAAGTCACTAAACTATAAAATAAATGCTAATAACCGCATAAAAGAGCAATCATATGCAGAACGAGCCCCAAAATTGATCTAAGATGATATATCATGTGTTGCCATCATAAATACAGTTTCTCTTTAGTGACAAAATCATTAATATATCGACATGACAGAGCCTTGAATTGATTTCCAAGATGGGGAGAGCTATATGATTAAGGTTATATCGACGCAAAATTACTATGATATTAACGAAAAAATGGCCCCAAAAACATGACATCGAGATCGGAGCGAAGTCCAAATGATTAAGACGACGAGCAGGGACGGTGCCACGGAAATGGCCACGCCTTGATCCATCCATTAAAAGAAAATTTTGATTTGCCTGTATATTGGAAGTCCTCCAGGGACATGGCAATGAAGCAAGATCCAACCAGGCTGTTCAGACTACAGATTGATTCATATCCAGTTTAATATCGGATGTCGATAAATTTCATGGAGATGAAAATGGGAAGTATGACTAACAGTTCCTTAACAATTAAAGAACGACTAAATCAATAAATTAACACCAGAAAAGGAATTTTGAAGAGAAAAATTCAGAAAGAAGCTTCATATGCCTCTCTCAGCAAGCGAGGGAAGAAGTTGCAAGGAAATCAAGTATTGAACACCGAAAACTCGCAAGAAATGTAAAATGGAAGGCAGTATCCAAGAGCATATAAAAGCAAGAAGGAAATGCGAAATCGACTCTTGAGTTTAATATAAACTCCTTTACGTAAACTAGAATTGCAGTTTCAACACTGTTGCAAATCATCGTATTGAAGCAGAAACGTTACCTTTCTGCGCAGTTCTCCAAAGACGCGGTCATCGTCATCAAAATGTTCACTGACAAACTTGTTTACCCAAGTCCCAGAAGCGGGGCATTTAACGTCATGAATGAACGAAGGGAATCTGCCAGAGGATCAAAAAGGTTCGGCGGAGGTGCTATGGCCTTATTTTATTTTATTTTATTAATCTCTCTGTAATGCCCCGTTTGGCATCATGTAAGAGTTTTTGTGGAAGTAAAAGTATAAGCGAAAGTGGAAACGGAAGTAAAAGCCTTTTTTTCAGCCAGAAAATGTTGGAAAGTTCATTTCATTTCGTAAAGATTTATAAAAAAAGATATTTTAGAGAAAAATGTAATTGGAAAGTTCATTTTGTTTTAGAAAAAGATCTGTGGAATTTAAAAATAAAAAATAAGCCTGTTTTATCGCGTGAAATGACTTTCTCAGACGGAGTTTTAAAATGAAAAAAAAGAGAGAAAACAAATACACAAATTAATTATTTTATTGTCCAAAATATAACTATTTATCTTAAACTTTTAGTAAATATTTTCCGTATTCGCTGCTCATGTCCGCATATTCTGAAGCCTTTTCCTTGGTTCTTACTTCTTCACTGTCATTTTCAACGGATCCCATTCCCACCCAAAAAGTGAATGGCTATGCTCTTTTCTCTGATGTCTGAACTTTCCCAGAAACTTCAGGACCAGAAACGCCTCCCGCTAACGGAAAGTTATAGCCAGCAGCCACCCTCTTTGACTTTGAGACGTCAATTCCAATTTCGTCATTTTTCTTTTTGAGCTACCGATTTTTAATCATTATTAGATTAATGAGGTGAAAAAATGGGTTTCCCTCAGACAATATGTTGAACTGGGCTTTTGGAAAACGTCAATGTAAGACCCCCAGAGCAAGGGTGAAAGATACATCGACACAAGAGTCGGGTAAACAGAATTATCACAGCATGCAACTTAAATTGTATATTAAGCTACTGAAAATTAGATTAAAAATAATCAGAACCAAAAATAGTGGATTTCCTCACGTTCTTTCAAGTCAGGATACCATGCAGTAAACTAGCCTTGGAGCAGATTTTTCAGCAGGAACAAGCTCAGTACTAGGACTTCTTCCTCTTTATAGCAAGCACTCCGGAAGTTGAATGATACACTCACCTCAAGCACTTATGGAGAATTTATACTCAATCCCGGCAAAGGAAAAGCCTTTTGAAGAGAAGTTGCTGTCGTTCACCCCAGTTGTCCCTGCTTTCATAGCTGAAATCTTTCAGCATGTGATTCTCCTATGTGATTCGCAAAGGGAAATGGTGCTGCCGTGATGCCGCCCCTTTGCTTTTAGATTGGACTGGAATAATGTTATCAGATTTTATGTTTGGCTGAAAGTGGTGTTCGCAGAATTGGAGCTGAGTGACTTTAGTACAGCTCTAGTGGTTATGATATGTTTGGCATATTTTGAAGGATGGATGAACCTATGGTCTTTGAAAATTCTCTGCATGATCCCATTACCAAATTTTTCTTTTCATCTAACCATGATGGCGTAGAAAGTAAACTATGTAATCAAACACCGTGAGTCCGAAAAAAGTGCCAACTGAATTTCTGTATTCTTAGCCTTACCCATACTTCGACAATTTGACTGGAACCCTCGTGAAGTGGTAGGTCCTCCCATAACAATCTTATCTGTAAAAAGTGAGAGGATTCACAGAAAATCTCATGCAATGAGTCTCCATTTCACAGTCTAAAGTTTTAAACCATTATTTCTTTTCTGCTATGGAATCAACGGTAATTGATTTTTCAATCAAATTTTTTTCCTTTCACCCCAAAATTTACATCCAAAATCTTCCTATGAACCAACCTGGACAGAGCTGCATTTAGCAGATAATTTTTCTTAAGTAATATACTCAATATTCAAATCAATCATGGTCGCATCTCCATTCTAGAAAACACATCGCTCTTCAATTGCTTCGCTTCTAGACACTGTCATGACCTTCCACTACATGATAGCCATAATCTAACTTCAGTATCTACTCTTTAACATGGGGAGCCTGTCATAAACAAGTATAGCTGAAAAGGAAGTCTCAGAAAAATCCTCCTTGAAAACTTGACCTTTATGGGCTTTATCTGGGTCTGAGATTTTATTTCTCAGTTGAACCTTCAAGGGATAACTTCATATGAGTACCTAATTCATTCAACATCGAGTACACTATCCTTTTCCTAGGGATCAAATTGTTGCTCAAAATATTTTTAGATTCAAAATCTTCAAGACGAACCAAGCTGCAAGCTGCCTGTTTTTTCTGTAATCCCTTTTCTTTTATCATCAACCTCACATGTTCAACATCATCCCATTTACCTTCAGCAGCATATATATTTGATAGCAATATATAGGGACCAATATCATGTGGCTCCAACTCAATAAGTCTCTTTGCCACAATCTTCCCAAGGTCTGAATCTGAGTGGGTCCTGCAAGCAGATAGTAAAGCTCCCCACAAGGCAGGTCCACCTTCACCCTTGATAGGGATCCTTCTTATAAGCTCCTCTGAATTTCTCATCAAACCAGCTCGGGCAAGGAGATCAACCATGCAACCATAGTGTTCGACCTTGGGTTCAATCTTGTAAACTCGACGCATGTGATCAAAGTACCACCAACCTTCCATAACCATACCAGCGTGAGTACATGCAGATAAGATACAGATAAACGTAGCATCGTTTGGCTGTGGACCTATCTTCTCCATCTCCATGAATAATTCCAGAGCTTTCTCACCATTGCCATGTAATCCATATCCCATGATCATGGAATTCCATGATACAACGTTTTTGATTGGCATCTCATCAAAAACTTCTTTAGCCATATCCATAGCCCCACACTTTGCATACATTGTCAGAAGACTGGTTGAAAGTAAGACATCGGATTTAATGCTCTTACTTTTGATATAAGAATGGACCCTTAAACCTATATCAAGCCGCCCTAAATTCGCACATGCTGTGAGAACACTCACCAGAGTAGCCTCATTAGGCATAGCTTCTCCTCTTTCCATCATTCTATCAGCCAGTCTCAAACATTCACTGAAATTTTTAGATCGCACATATATTGCCAACATAGAATTCCAAGAGACCACATTCCTAATGGGCATTTGATAAAAAAACTTACGAGCTAAGGAAACGTTTCCAATCTTTGCATACCCATCAATCATAGAATTCCAGGACACCACGTCTTTTGTTGGCATTCTGTCAAACAAATCTTGTGCAGCTTCCAAATCGCCAATCCCCACATACCCAGCAATCATAGAATTCCAGCTAAATACATCTCTTTCTGACATCTCATCAAAAAGTTGGCGTGCTGCACCAATTTCCTTATTATTTACATACCCATCAATCATCGAATTGTAACTCACCAAATCCAATGCATACCCTGCGTCAAATAGCAACCGAGCATCTCCAATTCTGCCACAAACCGAGTACATATGAATTAGTGAGTTCCGAGTAAACAAATCTGATTCAAACCCGAATTTCACAATCCTAGCATGACTCTTCTCCCCTTCTCGCACCGACCTTACCTCTGCACAAACTTTTATCAAAAGAGGAAAAGTATAATGATTTGGATTGACCCATCTAGTAACCATTTTCTCGTAGTAGAACCTCAGAGCACTGCGAAAATCATTCATATTCGTATATCTTCTCATAATGGTATTGCATAAAAAAGCATCCGGTTCATCCAGATAATCAAATATGTGAATGGCGTGCGGAATCATACGTGAATCCGAGCAGAGTTTCTTTATAGCTCTGCCAGCAGCTAAAGGGTGTTGAAATAGCCCAGAAACCATGAGTTGGGCATGGACTTGGTTAAGCTCTTTGATCCCGGTGCATGATTCTAAAGTACACAGGAGGGGGTGGGATAGCTTCAAAAGGGGCGACCCTTGTTCGTCGAGGTCCATGTTTTCGTCTTCACGGTTAAGCCATAGGCTTGGCGGGGGTTCGGAAAGGTTCTTACGGGATCTGAGAATCCTGTCCAGCGCCAGTGAAGCTGATTTCGGGGAAGGCCTCAGCCTAACCGCCATCTCGATTTGTTGGCAATATATATATATATATATATATTCCGCAACAGCCAAGTAGATTGTGGAATTCGTCAATTTTTGAGGCCTGTTTGTGTGCTCAACTGGCTGAAATGAGCATGGATGCAATAGGCGCTAAACCCGTGGTGGCGTCATCGTAAGTCGAGGGGGAACTCGGAAATCTATGTTTCCCGCGTTCGAAGTGTTCTTATCATAACTTCAGAATCACAAGAGAAGTGCCGGACGAATGGATTTCTTTTTCCCAAAAAAAAAAAAAAAACGACTGCAATGGCATCGTAATTAAGGAGGGAGAAATCCAAAAACAAAAAAATATTTGAAATTACTAAATTCTAAATAAAAATTTTTATTTTCAAGCTCAGTATTATTAAAACCAAATAAACTATTATTATCAAATCTGATTTGAGATTTAATAATTTCAAACTTTTTTCAAATTTTCCCCAACAACATTATTAGTTGTCAAATAATATCAAAATTAAAAAGGTTAATATAATTTCTGATCTTTTAAATTTGTTATCATTTTTATTTTAGTCTCTCAAATTTCAAACTATAGGTTTTAGTCCTTCAAAAAGTAAAATGATTCAAATTTTTATTAGATTATAAGGGCTAATGTTATAAATGAAAAAAAAAACTTAAAAGACCAAAAATTATAGTTTGAAACTTGAGGGACCAAAACTAAAATTAAGACAAACTTAAGAGACCAAATTTATATTATTTCAAATTAAAATTATTAATATAATTTCACGTACTTTTTATTTAAAGTAAGTTGAATTCGTATGTTAGATAGATTTTACGGAACAAAATCCCAATTTTATATATAACATAATATCATAAGAGAAATTTCCACAACTTCAAAAGCAATTTAACTTCCAATGGGGAGGAGGCATTATCTCGGCAGGGTTTAGTAGCTCTTAACAAAAGCAAATTTGTGATATAAAGTTAGTCATTGTTATACGTTACAATAATAAATAAATAACCAACGTACAGATTACATTGATTCTTCCCCTGCTACCTATCCATCCAGTAGCATTCTGAAAAAGAATTCCACGTGATGCTGTGTAAGTCTTGAGAACGAAACCTTAAGCCAAACACGTTCCAAAATGAATACCGAGTACAGAGATACAAAATGTCAAGACAAGGCACATTCAACAAGCACATCCGCCCGACTCAGGTTGAGAATTAGGGCCACTAGAAGACTTCAAGTTCACATCAACCATATCCTCGTGTTTTGTTGAAGACAGCGTTTCCATGCCAGGTAACGCAGCAGCAATTTTTCTAAAGAGAGCCTGGATACAGGTTTGTTCAAAAACAGTGCAAGATCAGATGCAAGTACGAAAATGAAAGCTGCACAAGATTCCAGAGCTGAGGCAATTGCATGCAAACGGCAGTTATCTGGTTAGTGAGGATTAAAGTCACAGCAGTAATACGCAGATCTCCATAAGGATGTGATCTATCCGACTTTTTAACCATTTCCAGCGTCTCGATGCAAAATGAGTGATGACCCAAGACTTGTTATTCACCTTTTCTTCCAGAGTTAATCTTAACAAAGGCCAACCTCATTAATGCCCATTTAAGGTGGTGGTAGACCAGTAATTTACGGAAGAATTACAGCAAAAGAAGATGCTATCCCAGAAAAGTTATATAGAAACATATAGAGCAAAATGAAGGGGAGTGTACCTTTATATTAAAGCCAGCTTTGGCGCTAGCTTCAATGAACATGACATTCAGATCACGGGCTTTTGCTTCGCCTTCCTCTGTGGAAACTTGCCTGTAGATTCATTCACAGAAATAGTTCATAAAGAAAAACGGATATAACTAGGATTTACTAATAGGAATTGAATAAAAAGAAGTGCACCTAGGACATCAAAACGCAGAGGGATAAACATACGCAGAGAACATCCCGACGTCGAAGCATGCATTGGTTTGGAAGTAATTTATGCATTGTAAATAGTAAATGATATCTCGAAGAACATTGCATTGTTGAGAATCATTGATTCCTCAAGCAAATTTTAAAGCCATTTCAGGGCTTGAACCAGTGACGCGCTACCTATCCCGAATAGTTTACTTCCTACAAACTTAGTTATGGTTTATAGCATGTTGGATTTACTCCCAGAAGTCCATCTGACCTCCGTTTGAAATGAACTTTTGCAAGGTCCAACAAGTTGCAAATGTACGTTTATAAGTTTGTCAAATATGCTCTTAGTAATTAATCCATAGATGATCAGACAAAGAGAATTGATGAATCAAAACATAGAATAAGCCATCGTGCCGCCTGATAAAGTCATGATTCTGTTCATTAGTCATTACCTCTTATCCACAAGGTCAGTTTTGTTCCCCACAAGGACAATAATTACATCACTACCTCTCTCACTTCGCACCTCTTCAATCCAATTTGATGTGTTTAGAAAAGTCTGCCGGCCTACATATGAAAAATACAGAATAAACAGAAAGAATTCTTCAAACTGTTCGGGAAAAAATAAATCATGCACAAATGACCCAAGTTATTCAGAGAGATCCAAAAAGGTGACCAAATATCATAGGCAGCAGCTGTGAGAGAAGGCAAATTCAAGAGAGGTGCTGGCTCCGGACCCCAAAAAAGGGAGCGAAAAGTTCTAGTTTCCCATTGAATTATGTTTTGCTGAACACACATACCTCCCAAAGAAAAAAAGCTTCAAAAGCTTTAGTACGGGAGTAAGAGAATATAAATGGGTAGTGAGGGAAAGGAAATTCTGCTGCCCAGAATAGAAAGCTGCATATAGATTCCCTTCGTAAATAACAACTCTCGTTTGAACAAGGACTGACTAGCATGGTCACAGCAGTCTAAGTTATTTGACCGGCATAAAGTACACACACACACACACACACAAAAGGGGGGGAAAAAGCAACTCTATTAGAAGCTTAAGTTAATTGTTATCGTTAACATGTAAAAGCTGTGAAAAAGTATTCACTATTAAGCAAGGAATAAAGAGAAACATATCCTGAATGGCGTACTTGCAACATCATAGGCAATAACAGCAACAGATGAATCCCTGATGTAGCTTGGAATAAGACTTCTAAATCTTTCCTGGCCAGCTGTATCCCTGTTACCACATCGGCACGCGCACGTAAAGACATGGGGGGATTAAAAAGAATGTTTGCTGATAAAGAAATGGAGTCATCCTTTGGTAAGGAACCCATAAACAGTCAATTGAACACGTTAAGCTCCTTAAACCTTACATTGATTCACCAATGTGCATCAAGAAGTAAGGCATAAAGCCAACATACAAAGTAAGATAAATGTGCGCCAGATGATACAGATTCCAAGATGCCTTATGATTCATGACATCTTGTTTGACATTCACCAGCTTCAAAACTCGTTTTCTTGCTCTAAATCTAAATCCAACGGAATAAAAAATTCCAGGTTTAGGAGAACATTATGGTGGGACTGGAAGGTATCAAAATAAAGGATTGAATATACTAAATCGATGGTTTTCCAAAACTGAACCAACAAACTTCAAATTAGCCATCACGAAACATCACAATCTGCAAACGTACTTTCATTATATAAAATAAAATTTTGAAATCAACTATGACATGTGACAAACAGAAAGAAAAGGACAGCATCAACTTGGCATACATGTACAGTTCTCTCATGTGGAAGGCGGTTTACTGAGAGGGAATTAAATCGAAAGTATCTGGTATCATCCTACACCCACCATTGGATAAACATTAATACTTACCCTTACACAGGAGGAAGCAAACTTCGTTCGATGAAAAGCTATATATCAAATTTTAGTGGTGCCATATCTCTTTATATCTATGGAAGATGAGATAATTTAGAAAGCTATCATAAAAGCATTTGCACTCATACACCACCTCATTCATTCAAATAGTCAAATAATGAAATTTCTCTGTAAATTAATTTCCCCCCACCATTTAGAACTCACAAAATGATGATGCCGCATCTTACCACAACTGCAGTCGAACAGTTCGATCTTCAAGATACATAGTTTTGGATAGAAAATCAATACCAATCGTGGCCTGCTCACGAAGAGGGGGAAAAAACTGAGTACTTGCCAAAGATGAAATGTAAACTCAATTTTGAACAAAGGAAATCAGTAAGTGCAGGATTTTGCAGGCTTTTTATCAACCTGTGGTTGAATAAAAACTGCTTAGTTCACACAAACGTACACCCATTGAGAGGAAAACAAAAACTGCAAATGATCTAAATAACCTATATTTACATATAGATTGTGCGTGATATGTATGTTAACTATCACGATGAATAATATATCAAACTGTGATTGCACTTTGCAGATGGAACCATAAGTCTTCGCGAAAGAACAGTTGATTATGGCCTAACGTTCCTCTGCATTACTATAACCTTATACGACATTCTCTCGGTTACTAAACGAATAAAGAGTATCTACGAGTCTTGTCAAATGTCTTGCATGATTGTGTAAAGTATTTTTGTTGTTTTTGTTATTTTTGGGGGAGATTGCGGAATCCACAACGAAGGAGCGGCAGCAGTGTCCGTGGTCTCACGGGATCGATCATCAAATTGTCCCTGAGGAAAGCCGCGATCTCTTGAACCAGCTCCCAAACCGAATGGGGAAGGAAACAATTACAGAATGATCTATCATAGAAATTGTCAGCGTCAACACTAGATAGTAAATCGATAATGATATTCTGATCTTTCTTTTGGACAATGATTAGGATTCTGTTCCATATCACATTTCTTGTCATTTTTCCGAAAAGAAAAGGTCACGATCTCAGGGTGGAAATACTAACAAAAATTGTCGATGTCCTTGGCGCGGTATTGCATGAGAAAATTCAGATTTCAACGTAGCTACATAGAACAGCTAAGATTATTAACGGCAAAACATGGCCTTTTTATTTCCACATCAGGAAAAAAAAATCTGATTTCGGGCACGAATAATGTTATTAGGTTTGATTTTTACAGAGGGAAAAATGATCCAAGTAATGACGAATAATACCTGATATGTGGTGTCAAATTTATCATACATGAAGCGTGTGATGATGCTGGTCTTGCCCACCGACTGATCACCCAAGAACACCAGCTTGTACTTTGCAAGAGCAGAAACTGGCGCCATTGTGGAAATCACTGATACAGAAAATCTGAACGTGACTGAGCAGAATGGTTAATTCTCTTTGCCAAACACCGATTCCGATTGCCTCGTGTGGTCTTTTTAAAATTGGGAAGGATGATAACGAGATTGATAACTAAAAAAATTACACACGTAGTTATTTAGCGGTATGCATGGATTTATTTTTACTTCACACGTGTGTCTTCTAGTACAAGTATAGTAGTTTTGGCCAAAAAAAAATAAATAAATATGGTAGTGGATCCAATATGCAGTCTAGTTAATTTAATAGGATCCCTCTTAATTAGTAAGTTGTCCCTCGTTCTTCTAATATATACTCTTTTGGTCCTAAATATAAGACCCTTATACACACTATAAGAGTTTTATATTTAGGATTGGAAGAGTATTTAGATTAACAAAGTTGTCCAACATGCCGTTACATGAATTTGATGCTTCTCCCGCTGAAAATGATTCTTATTCAGAGAGCATTCTAACGTTCCACCAAAGAGAAAAAGAGAATAAGGAGAGAAAAATCTGTCAACGGGATAAAATATTGGACAGTATTTAACGAAGTTGTGACATAAGATTCATAGTTGATGATATGACACTTAAATAATAAATTTCAAAAAATTTAAATAAACATTTAAATTATTAATTTTCCTAAAGCATTCGTTTATCCTTTACATTAGAAACACTCATTTAATAAAAAAAATTATTTAAAAAACAAAGTGAATTCACATAATAAAAAGCCAAATCCAACTCTGGGCCTCAGCCTTTTTCCAACTTGCAGTAAATAAAAAAATGGCAACTAGGGATGAGCCTGATTGGAATGCTTGGCCCAACAAACAAAAGAGCGGAGTGCAAATTTTAGTTTAATGCGATCACGTTTTTGTTTTCGTCGTTTTCGTTTGCTTTTTAAAGCATCGAGTCGAGCCCAATATCTTGCCCTCTTTTAAACAGTGCCACGAATCAACGCGTAGAAGACACTTTTTCTCATCTTACTCGAAGCAAATCGTGTATAATCACCACTTGATGTCAATCAAGACTGCATACAAAGCTGATCCATTGAGCTTTCTTTCCACTCCCGTTCTGTGTATGGCGCTAATAAATGGGAAACACGGAGATCGGCAAAGCTAAACATTCCAAATACATCAACCACACCTATTGACAGCCAATGAACAGAGAAATTTTTGGGCCAAGTAAAATTAACAGCTAAAATTTTACGTTGTGTTGGCTACCTTTACTATACTAGTACATTATCACAAGCACACCAACAAAATGAATTTCTAAATGTAAGTTTTTCAACCCCTATCTCACCACTTGTATATTCTGACCTTTTCGAGTAATGATATTGCTGTCGAAGAGTGCAGACAAACATCCACTAAAAAGTTATACAACGAAGCAAAAAGATTCTACGAGACAGACCACACTCAACAAGCACACCCACTTGACGGGGTTTGAGATTGAGTGTTGGCATTTGAAGACTTCAAGTTGACATCAACCATGTCTTCTTGTTTTGTAGATGATAGTGTCTCCATTCCCGGCAATGCAGCTGCAATTTTTCGGAAGAGGGCCTGTATTAAGGTTCAAAAAAGAAACACATGAACAGCAGGCAGCATGGATAGAGGTTTAATAGATGCAAGAGGATGAATAACAATTTTTTGCCTAAGATTATGAGAACTGTAGCAAGTGGACCCCCATTTTTCAGGGAGCTAAATTCAGGAGACATATAAAGGGTTGATTAGAAGCAACATGACTAACAGTTTATGAGATGTACAAATCATTAAGCATTCACACCAAATAACGTAATGCGTCACCCTCTGGTGGACCACTCGCAACATGTCATCCAAGAGAGATGATGAAAAACATCCACTTCACTCATTCTATCCAGGTCATGTACAAGGGCATACACACAACCAGCGTACCATGATAATAACATAGCACAGTTCATCTTTCTTATTGGAAGCAGGAAATTTATGGAAAATTTTGATGATTTTGAAGAAAAGAAGGCAGTGGGCTTACTTTTATATTAAACCCAGCTTTGGCACTAGTCTCAATAAACATGACATTCAATTCGTTGGCTTTTGCTTCCCCTTCCTCAATAGAGACCTGCCTGTAGACTCGTGTAAAGATGAATATCAGAAAAACAAATGACTTCTCATATCAGCACATTACGCACACAAGGGCAGATTATGCATGAAATATTTTAGTGTGAAACCCACTCAGGACACTGAAAGCCTAGCAGCAAATCTAGATTTTCTTTTCATTAGACCAAGGCTGACACTAGACTTTGCCGAGTTAAGACTAATCTTCTATGGTAGGAATAACATACATTGTGTCCTCGACAAGCCGCCAAAAAGGCTTATTATGCTCACTAAGAGCCAAACTTGGCTCAATTCCAAACGCCTAGAGTCCTGGTAATGATAATCCAGATGGCATTACCATAGAAAGTGTGTTTAGTTGACATTTTATCTCAGTAATCCTGATTACATCGCAATCATGATTATCAAAAATGGGTAATCAAGATTCATAGGTCCGTGCATCAATCACTCATTCACACCCACACACACAAGTGCAAATGTAACAGATACTCCTCACCAAACCACGGATGCAGAGATAAACATACATACCTACATAATAGATGCATCATGAAATCATAGGTTAGAAGTTACATAGCTTTGTCTTATCACTCAGAAACATAAATAGCTGACTACAGAATATCCCAACGGAAAGATCCATTTAACCTAATAAACAATAAGGGATTCTTACATGCCTCATACACGGTACAGAAACATTTCATTTAACCTTATTTCACATGGTACTTGTCACAAATCCTAGATTTCTTAAGGAAATGTTAAGCCATTCAGGGCAATCAAAGTAGTAGAACTGTAACAGCTTCCATGTTCAAATTTTAGCCAATTTAATCCCAGTCCCCACAGAACTAACCATGGTCTAGATGAACAATTTCTCTGTGCACTGAGTATTAATTGTTTAATAAATCAAGCAGTTAATGAGATAACACAGTAGAGAGGGAGAGTTAGTAAAAGGCCACTATCTGATAAAATATTATTCTCTTGACTGCTCATTACCTCTTTTCAACCAGATCTGTTTTGTTCCCAACAAGAACAATAATGACATCACTGCCTCTCTCACTTCTCACCTCTTCAACCCACTTTGATGTGTTCAAAAAAGTCTGCCGGCCTATAAAGTAATCACGAGAACATCGGCATTATAATAAACAATCTTGCATAGGTTCTGACCAAAATTTAAGTTAATGCATCATTCAAGTCACCCAGAAAAATCACACGGGAAATTGAGTGCTTGAATTTGTGAGAGAATGTGACTTTCAAGAAACACATATTTCCTTGGTCTCGCACATGTGTGCTTAAGAAAACTTCCACATGCAGCGTACAATGTTATAATAGAATGGGCAGCAACAACAGAATGGGTAAATTGAGAAGAAGTCCTATATGACATACTTGCAACATCATATACAATTACGGCAACAGATGAATCTCTAATATAGCTTGGAATAAGACTTCTAAATCTTTCCTGTCCAGCAGTGTCCCTATCCAAACACAAGAAAAGAATTATTTTAGCAGGGAAAAGGGCAATAAAATTGGTAATATAAAAACTAAAGATTTGCATACTAAACACCTCTAACTTTTATCGACCATAAATGCATATCGATATGCACCATATTCTCAGACTCCAAGATCAAATTTACCAAGCAATTCTATGGTTACCTACATCTGTAAGAAATGACTTTTCTTGCTTTCATTTTAAATTTAGATGAACCAGAAACAATGATGGTGCCAGACCACTGCCACAAAACTTTTCCTTGCTCTTTCTCCTTATCTTATGAGGTGATGACACCACATCTTACCATAACTGCAGTCGGACAGTTCGATCTTCAAGATACATAGTTTTAGATAGAAAATCAATACCAATTGTAGCCTGTTTGCAGAAGCACAAAGTAAGTTTTAGCGTTTGAGGAAAAAAATAAAGTTAGCAAAAAGAAAATACATGGATTACAAGATGTTGGATGCCTATTGAGTACAATGAGAGCAGAAAAGCTAAAGTTGTCTCAATAGCCCAGATAAATATGTCGCATCAAGTAATTTATGCATATACTAGGATTTAATTAAAAGGCTAATGATTATAGATCATGGATGTTACCAAGTCTTCATATCTGTTTGTCGTCTGATTTTTCAAGTTCCTTTTTGGCTTTCAGACATTAAACCTTTAGCAGTCACAATTTGTACCTTGCAGTTCTGGTTCGATCAATATAAAACTCACCCTGTTTTATTCAAACTAAAAAATTTACTTCTCTTGGTTTAAATAATTTCATGCACAGGTATTATGTATCCAGAGTTCTTAGAATTTAACGTCAGCGCCCCTTATTGAGACATGTAGAATAATCAACATGCCTTCTTTGTTTCTTCAACCACAGTTGTCTGGATAAATATCCTTAAAAAAAATCATTGGAACATTTCAATCCAGCAAAGGTAAGAAATCCAGCTAAAATGACTAAATCAACCATTGAAAGATGAAGTTCTGATTTCGGAAGCCATGTTCAGACTTTGTTTGAACTGATTTAGAATACAGAATTGGATCTGATGTGTATACTGCATACCTGATAGATATTATCGAACTTATCGTACATGAAGCGAGTGATTATGCTGGTCTTGCCCACGGACTGGTCACCCAAGAACACCAGCTTGTACTTTGCCAACGCTGAAACCGGCGCCATCAAGTAACGGCTTTGAAGTGAAAAATTCTGTGCGAATCAGATGAGTCAACTCTCCGAGAAAAACCCCGGCTTCGATTAGTCGATGGGGTTGATCTCGGATGGGAAACGGGGAACCGCGGAGCGAAACAAATGAACGAATTAATTTGCCTTTTTTTTTAAATATTTTTTAAAAAAATTTAGTATTCTAAAATATTTTTTTAGTGTATTTAATATTTTAAAGTATTTTTTCTGTACCCTCGACACTAAAAAATATTTTTCTGTGCATCTAACAATAAGACAAAAAATACTTCAGGTTTTTTGTCTTGGTATTAGATATAATTAAAAAAATGCTTCAAGTTGTTAAATGCCTCTGAACAAATATTTCAAAGTGTAAATAGAAGGCAGGCGATCAAACCGTAATCTAACCAAACGAGATCCTAATATGCTCGACTCATTTTTTTCAAGAGACTAAAATTTCTCCCCCTTCTAAACATATTTTAAGTATAAGAGCTCCTCTGAAAGGGGGCAATTATAGCTTTTAAAAGCTGTTTTTTAATCATAATTTATAATGTATGGAATAAACATATAAAAAGAATTTTGTTTTGATTTACATCAACTTACTTATAATAAATAACTCCAAGCCTCAAAATAAGCAGTGAATAAAGTGGAGGTAATAATAATAATATAATATACAATGTTGTGAGAAAATGAAGTTAATTTCAAGTATACACATTATCATATTGACGTGGCAAATGATAGTCTCCCCATTGACGAAAACTTGAGTATAACGGAAATGATCACAGCAATAAAATTTCAACATGAGCGGTTCCATCATGCATTGCACGTGAACGGTTTAACTAAAAGAGATGACACACCCGCTGCCTAACCAGAAACAAATAAAGAAGAGGAGGAGAGGATCACAACATGACCTGCACAGGGGTGTGCATATGCACTGTTCTTCAAAAAATTTCCTTGAAAATATTTCATCAGATCGAGCAGAGCTCGCACGTATTGAAAATTTACACGGACGTGTGGATTCGCCGATCCACGTGGAAGGGAGGGACAACCAAAAAAAAAAATTGAAGGAGGAGAACAGTGACGGAAATTATTAACAGAATGTGGTGGAGGGTATTTTTGGATTCTAAAAATAAACCATGCGCATGCAGGATTACAGGTCACACAACTCCCTCCAAATCCCACATTTTGGAGGGAAGGGAAGGGGTCTCTATTTTTCCAAGTCAAACCTCCCCTTCCCCAAGAGCGAACCGTTTTGGATTGTCTATCATCGACATTTTATATATACGGTGTGGGTGTGCAGACTCTACAACCCGAAGCCAAAGCCAGGTGTCACCGTGCTTGCAACGTGGCGTGATCAGATCATATTGTAGCTACATTAGTAACATGTAGCAATGGTCCCTTATTTAATCCAAGTTCTGCGTAGCGGGTGTTGCTCTTTTTTCTCTGGCCATCTTCCTCTTCCTTCGTTGGCTGCACATTGCTCACCAGTAAAGACTCCGCCGGTGACGCGTAACAGAGACCAAGGAACATGTCGGCGTCACAGGTGGATCCTCGCGACAGAACGAGGGCCAGAGATGTTAGCAAAGTGACTCGAGGCGAGCAAGCTCCGAGGCCTGCTCATGAATACGGCACCGTTTCCCCTCCCCCTCCTCCCTCTTCAACCGATCATATCAATATTAACACCAACAAGAACAAGGAGGAAAAGTCAGGGAAACCACAAACTGATTACCAAACGCGACACTGCTATGTCAGATACGTGGACTATCATCGGTGAGTGCTCTGGTTGATTGGCTAGCTTGCTTCTCCTGATCAAAAGCAGTGTCTGATCTTGGTTTTGCGTGATCAGGTGCATTCTGCAGAAGGGCAAAAAAGACCCTGAATGCGAGAAGCTTGAAACGTATTATAGGAAGCTCTGTCCTACCGAATGGGTGATTGTCCCACAGAAATTCTTTTATTTTTTAATTAAAAGTTCCTTTTTCTCTTTTCTTGGGCGTTAAAACCACCCCCGTTATGTAATTGGAGCCCGAACTTATGCAGGTTTCGAAGTGGGACGAAGAGAGAGAAGGTGGAGCTTTCCCTGGCGACGTTTAGGAAGAAGCAGGCGTTTTCCTAGTGGGAACGTCACATATCAACGAGCCCTTTTGAAAGATCCTGACTCTGTTTATTGGGGTCTGACACGAAAATTGGATAATACACCAGACTACCTCTCCAATTTTCCTGTGTCTTTAATAAATCAGACTCTATCTCCAGGAGATCATGTTTTCTTCTTAAGGTATCCAAATTGTTTTCCTGCTAATGCGTACGATATATGGCTTAATTTCTTGGTTGTTCCTGTCAATGCATTGTTCTTGATGTTTAGGTTCTGGGAAAAGCTTAACCTTATTGACATAGGTACTTATAGCAGCTTATAGATGCTGCTCATCGTTACACAGTGAGGGATGTAACGCACATGCCTTAAGCTGCAAGAAAATACAAGGTGTTTAACTATGGGGTAACGTAATAGACCTGCAGTTAACAGAAAATCCATGGTGTTAGCTGTGTGAAGTGTGCTTCAGTAGGGGAAAAGCCAATTTAGTTTTAAATTTAAGAGATGTTTGGTTAAAAACCAAATCATAGTTTTAAAAGTAACAAAAGTAATATTACGATGTGGTGAGAAGAGTTCAATTTGTATAAAAGTACCTTTTAGAAGTGTTTTTCTCCTTAGTCCTAAACAATTTGTGACTTTTGACTATATACTTGTCATCTATATAGGTTGATTTGAGAAGTATTATCTTATATAACTAATGAGATTAAGGGTAATTGGTTAAGTGAGTTATTAGTAATAAAAATCTATTGTTTTTTTAAACTACTTTATTAAATTGGGTATTAGAATTACTTATTAGTAGGTTCTTTTACAACTGATAAGGATATTTTAAGGAAAAATTATATACTCAAGATATAAATTGGATTGGTTATTATATCTAAGATTAAATATAATCCTAAATTAATTCTTATACCACCTCCAAGTCCTTAATTATTAGTTGATTAATTTAAATATATTAAAAAAATTAGTTAAGTTAGTTATTTATAATAAATAGGTGTTATCTTTTCTAAAATATTGTTGCTAATAAAATATATTAATTAGAGCTATCATATGATGAAATCTTTAATATGTACAACTATTATAGGTAATATTTTAACAAATTAATGAAAACGAAATAAATTAAAATTCCATATTTAAAACTAAATTAAAAATTAAACAAATTTTTATATTAAAAATTTAAAAGCAGAAGTATTAAAAACCACTTTCTGACAATAAAAAGAGCAGGAGGCTCAGCACAAGAAAACCGGACCCCACGGTCAAAAGTCAGAACGACGCACAAACCTTTGAAGCACGAGTCGAACTGGCGAAGGGCAAGGGACTGCTACAGCCTACAAGTCAACCATTCAACGAAGACTCGAAGAGGTTATATTCCATGGGTGAACTACTGAACGTTGCACAGAGCTGGAATTTTTATTTATGTACTTATTTATTATTTATTTATTCCAGAGACTCTTTGCGGCAAAGGATTATTTGAGGGCTGGTTTGTTTCTAATTGTCATAAATGCTTATGAGTATTTTATACTACTCCAAGTTAAGATAAATCTCTTTTTATATAAATAAGTACTATTACGTTTTTAAAATGTTATCGCGATTTATGAATTTCACAAAACAGATAAGCCCAAGGGGTTGACTGATCCCTTGTGATTTTGTTTTGCCACCAATCCCTTGTGATTCGCTGTTCTTAATAATTGTTTTTCATAAACTCCTACATGTTGTTTCTCTTAATTTTTGCTCACATACTGGCATAGAATATGAAAATTTAAAAGAAATCTGTTCTGGCCTCAGGATATAATTTTGAAAAATCACAAATTTTTTGAGAAAACGAAGTTGCTCTTTAGTTTATAAATTTTAAGTTGAAAATATATTAATTAAGGGCATAATCCACTCCATCCCCGCTTCTTCTGAGCTACTCCTCTGGTCCTTAATATATGATCTAATTATTGAGTTGATTTTGGTTCTAAATATAAGACTTATTTCTCATATTTATTAATTTTTTCTAAATTACCTCTATGAATATTCCCCCAACCATAATCAAGTAGAAGAGGGAAAGAGGATATAAAGAAAGATGATTGTGGTGTTTTAAAAAAAACATGTCATATTTCTTATAATCAACTAATTTACCTAATTTTCTTAATCTAATCAAATTAATTAAATACATTTTATATTAAGAGCCGGAGGAGTAATATTTTGTGTTAGAACTCAAATAATTAGTTTAATTATTTATAAAACAAAATAACGAAGGTGAATGTTGCTTAGTTTAATTTTCTGCTGGGGCTTTGTAGCACAATATCATTAAAAAAAGCATAATAACAATAAACATGCCTTTTAAATTTTTCTTCACACTGAGGTTTAAGTTTAAATTTTCTATGTATAGTATAATGGCACGTGAATTATGGTAATAAAATTTTCTAAACTTTAAAAAATATCACCTTTGGGATAAACAATGTCATCATATCATAAATAATCAAAGGTTAGTATAAAACATGAAATAAATATAAATCCAAACTATAAGTCAAGAAAAAACTGTCTGGCCAAAAAAGGTCAAGAAAAAATGAACCCTGCAATTTTGTTTTCCTCAAAGCATGAAAAAATGTCTTCCCATAGTATCTCTCTAATGCCATTTTGTAGTTTATTGCATAACTGCCTATTATATATAAAAAAAAAGTCTCATCCTCACTCTAAAGTAAACTCATCCAGTTTCAAAATTATATTATAGTGATATTAATATATCGATGAGGATATATGTTATATTAATGACATACATATCATCAATTTTTTTGTTGATTTTTTCCCATCAATATTACCCGTAATAATCAATAATCAATATCAATCAACTGACGTTATGTTGTGAAATCAAATTGGACCAGGGCAGAAAAGGAAATTAATTTTGACGTTATTTCTTTTAAACCAGTGCACGTCGCGGTGGGGAACAGGCCAAGCGTAATTCCACGCGGGTGCGTTTAGGACGCATGTACAGTCAAGTGAATACGTTCATCCTTTATTTTTTTCGTTGGCCAGCCATCTCTCGTTTTTACTATGAGCCTGAGACCTGAGCATCTCTCCGTCGCCAAACCTCTCCTTCTCTTCATTGTTCGCACCGAACCCTAACCCTAATCATACCTTCTTTCACCCTTTACAATCCAAAGAAGGCGCTCTCTCGAAACCCTAACATTAACAATTCATTTGTTACTCAGAAGATCGCACAATTTTCAATTTGAGAAGTCTTGCTTCACGCCTACACGATGGACTCACAACAGAGCAATCTATTCGAGACCGCTTCGCAACCGGACACTGGCAACGATGCTTACACTTTCCTCGAGTTTAACACTCAGGGGGAGGATTTCGACTACCCGGAGTTCCGTGACTCGATTAGGTCCCCAGCGGCTTGGCCCACTCCTTCCGATTCGCTAGTTGACCCCGTGGAGCGTAGTGGAGGAGGTGGAGCGGGCTCCGATCACCAGTCCGATGCCTCTCCTGTTTCAGCTGCTCCAGGAAGCGCCACTAAAAACCGTGCAACCGGGTCGGGCAGCAGCGGAAACAGCCAGATGGTAGACACCCTGGCTGCTGGGATGAGCGGGTTGAATTTTGAGGATACCGGTGATGATGACAATTATGAATTCGGGAAAGGAGATTTCACTGAACATGCTTGTCGATATTGTGGGGTATCGAATCCTGCATGTGTTGTGAGGTGTAATGTGCCTTCTTGTCGCAAATGGTTTTGTAACTCACGGGGGAACACGTCGGGTTCACATATCGTAAATCACCTGGTGAGTTGTTATGACAACTCTACCCCTTCATCTTTTCTGGTTACTTGCATTTGCCTTGGTGATAGACTTAGTTACAGAGAAATTGAGAAGTGTGTATCATGTAGTGATATCTTTCAGTTATTCTCAGTGAAAGTGGGAGTAGTGGTATGAGTTATGGCGAACAGTTTCTGAAAACTTTTCTTTTTTAAATGAAATAACCATATTGGGAGAAACGAAAAATTAGAAAGAGGAGGGTTAGGCATTCTCCAAAGAAAACAAGCGCAGGACGAGAAAGCTAAAGAATGAAACTAGGATGTTTAACATTCCCTCGGTGTATCCAAAGTGACATTCCTTTATGTATATATGAAAATCTAGCGGAAGACCACAAAGAGCTACAAACATCATCCTTGAGCTTTTTAAATTAGAGCTACCCATATGTTAGCGTTAAAGTTTCTAGTCTCGGGATCGTGTAGCAATACCCTTATACTATGTCTTGGAGCTGTGTCATCTTTGTTTATCATGAAGTCTTTTCATTGTTTCTTCACAAAAGTTATTCGGTTCTTTATTAAGGTTGAAGCTAAAGTCAGAATTATGGTTGCATTTATGCTTTCTTTGAATTTACGAGTGAATTATGGGATGATATGTAGACATTTAAAGAGTGTCTTTTGGAAGTTATTGCGGAAGAAATTCCTTCAGTTGCCATTGGAGTCAGAAATGAAAGATTATTGCGATCTCTTATGTTGTGGAATGTGTAATCAATATATGGGTCATTATGTAATTTGAAGTGCAATTTTGATTAAATGAAGTCTTTAGATAAGAATAACTGATAAGCAAGTAGCTTCTGGCCTGGTGGTTGTGCATTACCAACAGGGTCGAGACCGAGAGCCTGCATCTATTGTGTTTGTACTCCTATTGTGGCCGAACTCCTCCCTTCTAACCCCTTTTTAGTCCCCAGCAGAAGGAAAAAAGAAAATATTGGATGTTCTTATTTAATTTTGGAAACGGAGTTGTCACTGTACATCATTTCAACTGGATTACAGAATATTTATCTCCACAAACTAGCTGTGAGGTGTGTATCACTGTCGCATTTCAGACAAACTGGCGTTCAATGTTAATGGATAAGCATAAAAACAACCAGAGTCATCTCATACCCAAATGTCTGCGATGAATTTTGTCATTTGTGTTGATATTTGAAAACTAGTATCGTTTTTTATCTCTTATTATTTTTTGGATGTTAGTGAAAGTTCACGTTTTGTTTGACGTAGTTCTGATATTCTGTTGGTAACTTGAATTTTTTTGTGATCATGATTAAGATTATTGTATAACAACAATTATGTCTAGTCAAGTGAACAGAGATATCTTTGC